GATGATAACTTAATGAATGTTGTGGTCACATGATAACTTAATGAATGTTGTAGTCACATGATAACTTAATGAATGTTGAGGTCAAATGATAACTTAATGAATGTTGTGGTCACATGATAACTTAATAAAAGTTGTGGTTGGTCTAGGATTAATGATGTGTAAAACAAATATTTCCTCATGTAATTGGCTAAATAAGCTTTTTACTGCAAAAAGCAGGTTACACCCAAAAGAAAATTTACGAAATTGTCAACATCTCTTATGGTAAAGTCAAAAGGATAAATTTTAAACTCAAATTGTGGATTGAATTGAAAGTTCAGTTGCTGTGGTCAAAACAAGTTGCTGTGTTAAAAAAAGAATAACAAGTGTAAGAGAAGACAGAAAAATCAAGAAAGTTATTGAACAGCTTTCTAAGATACCAGCAAAAAAAAGAAAACTGCTTTAAAAGACCAAGGCAACAACATCTTAATTGGTTATTTGAAATAAATTTCTGTGTGCATATATAAAGGCCTTGGCAGGATGAAATAAGTGCAAGAGCGATGAAAAGCTCTCCTAAAACGAATATGACAAGCTATGCGAGCTACTTCTCTAAATTCTTTTGACTAGCATTGTTTTTATTGCTTATAAAAAAAGTTTTATATTTTTTTATTTTAATAGAATGCAGGGATTTTAAGAATTGTTAAAGATAACTATTAAAATGACTGCGTTTTTTATTTTAGTTACAACAATAATTAAACTTTTGAGAGAAAAATTATACTTTTGCGAGAGCTGTAAATTGCTCCCGTAAACCGTTTTAGGGGAGTGTGGGCGAGAGAGCTAAAACTCTCGCTTCCCGCCAAGGCCTATATATATATATATATATATATATATATATATATATATATATATATATATATATATATATATATATATATATATATATATATATATATATATATATATATATATATATATATATATGTATATATATATATATATATATATATATATATATATATATATATATATATATATATATATATATATATATATATATATATATATATATATATATATATATATATGTATATATATATATATATATATATATATATATATATATATATATATATATATATATATATGTATATATGTATATATGTATATATATATATATATATATATATATATATATATATATATATATATATATATATATATGTATATATATATATATATATATATATATATATATATATATATATGTATATATATATATATATATATATGTATATATATATATATATATGTATATATATATATATATGTATATATATATATATATATATATATATATGTATATATATATATATATGTATATATATATATATGTATATATATATATGTGTATATATATATATATATATATATATATATATATATATATATATATATATATATATATATATATATATATATATATATACTCACACACACACACATATATATATGTGTATATTATCTGCTTTATAGAATCAAACCTTTTCTTGGCTGCCTTTTTCTATTTGGTCTAGAAGGATCCCGAAACGCAGAACCATTTTGCAATGCTTGCATGAGGCCATCAAGAACACCTTCTTCATCACCAGCAGAGTCCAAAAGATTTTTTCCTTTTGTTTGTTTTGCTGCTTCTTTTTTTTTAAGTTCGCTCTCCTTAACAAAAATTAAAATAATTTCACAAAATTAAGCAACAAATGACAATATGTGACAGTAGTTTTTTTTATTTTTAATTTCATACAAATACTTTATAAAAAACCTACAGCTTTTTCTTTTGCTTTTTTTTCTTTTTCTTCCCTTTCTTTACGTTTTTGGTTGTCTTGCTGTGCCAGCTAAATAAGAAATAAGGATTAAAAATTAAAATGTCTATGATTGTTTAACATTGTAAATAACTAGTATAAGTATTGTTACCACATATTCTTTGATAAAATTGTTAACTGTTCCAAAAAATTCTTCCATATTTGTTTTTTTAGGGTCTGCACAATAGAATTCAACTAAATCACTAAAAATTGTTGTCATATTTTTATGCATTTCCTGCACAATTTGAAGCTTTTCACTAGATTCAGCTACAAAACCCTGTTTACATATGTTAAAGAATATTCTAAACTGATTCACATTTTAGTAATTCTACAGTTAAGCGGACTAATATATTTATTATAATAATAATTATTATTATCATAATATAAAAATATAATAAAAATAATGATATTTATAATAACTCTCAATGAATGAGAGCGCAAAAAATAAAATATAATTATTTTAGGCTCCTCAACTGTAGAACTACCCAGGTTTTTGCCAATAGTGGCTTAAAATTTTTTTTAATAGTTAACAAAAAAACAGAAATTCTTTTACAAGGATTCTATAGCTTTTAAGCATTCATAAAAGAAGAGAGAAAATAGTATTGTGTATAAAATCCTTTCATTTATTTTGTGCAACATTTTAATCTATCTTTTCTGCATGAGTATCTGCATATTAGAGGTATTTTCTTCAAACATATAAATTTAAAAGAGTTTGCGGTAGTGGTGTAGTGGTAAGAGCGCTCGCTTTGTAAGCGAGCGGTTCGGAGTTTGACTCCCATCACGTCCCTGGAAGTACCGCGCTCAACTTAATTTCTCCGTTCAGCAGTCTTGCTTGTCAAGATTCATGTTTCGGAGTTAAAGAGTTGAACAAGGGTTGTACCACGATTTGCAACAACAACAAAAAAAAAAAAAAATGAGTAGCCTCTTCGACTGTAGTGGCCCCCTTGGGCCTTGGGGAGGATAATAATTAAAAAAAAAAAAAAAAAAAAAAAAAGTTTAAACGGAAGAGATTACAAAATGTAATTTACTTACACAATCATAACTTGTCTTAAATACTGTTATAAATACTGATATAAATACTGTTATAAATACTAACACAAATACTGATATAAATACTGTTATAAACACTGATATAAATACTGATATAAATACTGATATAAATACAGTTTGATAATAAGTTTGAATACTCTAACAAGATACGAACAGCTCACCATACGTAATTATGATTTCAAAAAATATAAGTTTTTAGAAACTTTATAATTTGTAATGTAGCAAAAGATATTTCTCTTTTTTATTTTTCTTCTCCAATACAGAATCAAAGAATATTATATAAAAAATCAAAATCTTTTATAAATGTTTTTGAGATTATTAACTATAATCTAAATCTAGTGTATCTACAAATCTAGGAACACTAGATTTACATTTTATAAAAATTGAATATTTTGACATTAGTAATACATGTAAAAGAATTTGAAATGACAGTAAGTATATAATAGTTAGCAATAACTATTATTTTACAATTTTATATCAAGGTAGTTTATTTTCATTATATGGAATTATTACAGATTAACAACAGAAGCCAACAAATAAAATTTTTTTTTTTCCTGATGCAAAGCTAACATTTTTTGTAAAACATTTCTCATTTTGATTTCAAATATGCAATTCATTTTTCACAATCGCATCAAATTGTAAAAATATTTGGGTTCAAATCTTAAGCATTTGAGATAAAATCTAATATTGTCAAAAAATATATATATATTCAAAAGTCAACCTGGATCTCAAAATAAGCATATTTTTATAGAGATATTCAAAAACATAAATAACTAGGTGCTGAATTGCTTGGCATCAGAAATTTTTGTTTATTTGTTGGCGTGTGTAATTAATAACACTAATACTACACAGGAACTCCGTAAATCTCACATACTTTTTATTTCTTCTCAACTATATTTACAGCACAATTATTATTATTGCACCATGTCTTTCTAATTATATTGCATAATTTTTTATAAAAATATTACCAATACAATAAAATACAATATTAGGGAAATTTGAAAAGATACAGACATTATGTCCAAAAACCTATCATCCAGGCTAGCAGGTGTTTTATGATGTTGTAACTCATCACGGACTCTTGATAATGATAAATTTAATGTACCCACTGCCTTAGCAGTAGCATCATCAGATACTTAAAAAAAATCGATAAACATGCAATAAAACCCTCTTGATTTTCTTTTAATAAAGTTCGATTTTGCTATCAAATCTTTCTAATTAATTTGCAAAACAAAAACTAACAATTAAGTAAATTGATCTTACCTCTACTTGCATCCGATAAATGTCCCATTTCATTTTCGAAGCCACTAATTTCGGGATATTTACTATCAATGATATCTGCTAAAAAATGTGTTAATGTTAGCTTGCCGTCAACAGATTTTGTGTTTCCAACCTAAATATAAAAAAATTTTGTAATTATATTATAACCTCTATTTATATCTTTTATGCATTATAACCTCTATTTATATCTTTTATGCATTAAATCCTCTATTTATATCTTTTATGCATTATACCCTCTTATATTATCATTATTTTTTGCCTGGCCATGATATTAAACTGATCTTATATTGGGGCATGTGAGGCTCTTTAAATGTGGTAAAACAACTTACTTAGAAAAAGCAAAACATTGATATAAAAATCCTTAGTTAAATTGTTGATATAGGTAAAAAGAGCTCATAAACCTTGGGTGGTGATCTTCCTAATGCTAGAACCTCAATAAAAAATAATATATTATTATAATATAAATAATATTGTTAATATTATTTATATTATAATAATATATTTAATATTATTATTCTAATTATTATTGTTAATATTATTTATATAAGGATATTCATAAAATAATTTTTTTATTTGTCTTGTTTTTAAAACATTATTATCAAAATTAATTTTAATTATTATATATACTTATGTCATTGTTGGTTGGCCTGTATTGTTTTTTTTGTTCTGTTTGTAATTGTACATGGAAATTTTTAATATTAAATGCTGCTCTAGAATTTTTCAGTAAATAACATGTAGCCATTAGTAAATAACATGTAGCCATTAGTAAATAACATGTAGCCATTAGTAAACAACATGTAGCCATTAGTAAATAACATGTAGCCATTAGTAAATAACATGTAGCCATTAGTAAACAACATGTAGCCATTAGTAAACAACATGTAGCCATTAATAAACAACATGTAGCCATTATCTTTTCTGCTCTTCAGATTTTACAATAATTTTGATTCAACCATCTTGAATAAATTTATTAGAAACCTTGTATATCGACTGCCTGCACAAGAAAGTTTAACAAAAACCGTTTATATCAACAGCCTGAACATGCAAGTTTAACAAACCTTATTTATCAACTGCCTACACATGCAAGCTACAAAACAGATCATAAATTTAAAGAACAGTGATTTCTCAATATATACTTTTATATAATTTAATGGTTGTTAAAAGCAAATTTTTTTGCAGACAAAATTGTACACATCAATCTGAAGTGATTTCTCAATAAACTTACAACATCTAAACTCTTAGGGACATTCTTTTAATTCATATCCACATCAAGGATCTTTCCCAACTTTATTTTAATAAGTTTCCAAAATACATTAAAAAATATGCAGACAAGTACAATCTTACAAACATATTTTTTAGATGTTTTACTTGCAGTTGCCAATTTAATACTTTTGCATTCATTTTATCAAAGTGTCTTGTTGCTTTGATTACTGCTAGTTTACTAATGTTGTTGCTGCACATTTTTTAATATCATAGTTTGTTTTTTAATCTCTAAAACACTATAAACTAAAATTAATAGTGATGAATATATTGATTTCGGCTACTAAAGTTAATTTGATTGCTATATTTAGTTTGTTCAACAGCAGATGATTCATTCACTAATTTTTTTCTTAAATACATTTTAGTTAAAACTATTTTTAAATTGTTTAATTTTGAAAAAACCTTTATCTGTTTCTATGCATTAATAAATTTTACTTTGATGTAACTTGATTTGTAATACACATGAATTTACTAAATTTTATGAGGGTAACAAAACAAAAAGTTTAAAGATTTTATATAAATAAAGCAAACGCCACTAAACCTACATTAATAGAAACTATTAGAAAGATTATTAGATATTAGAAAGAGCACAGTTTTTTGCTAAAAGATACACTGTTTTCTAACATAGTGTGGCCCTAATTTTCCATTGTTCATAGTATATATACATATATACATACATACATATATATATATATATATATATATATATATATATATATATATATATATATATATATATATATATATATATATATATATATATATATATATATTTATAGGTGCCCTGAAAATTTTCATTATTACTCCAAAAGTTTTTAAGCTACTAACTAAATGTAAATGTATTAATATAGAGTACTTTTTCATGAGAATTTTTTTGTAACAGCCTTCTAGTTCCAATTTTTTTAATTTGAAGAAAAGTTGGAGGTCAAAAGACGCATTAAAAATTGAATACAAGTTAAAGGTTGAAAGACAAATTAAAAATTGGAAGACTTTTATAAAGGTTTGTAAAAAAAAAAAAAAAAAAAAAAAATAAATAAGTAAACTTCACAACATTACATAGTAACTCCTTGACCTTGGGGAGGTCAATGCATCAAAAATAATAATAATAAAATATAGACTGTTAAGTCGAGAATAGTTGTATAAATAAAAATGTTGCATAAATTTATGAGTTTTGAAAAGACTACGAAACTGAATATTAGCACATGAAATGATACATTCTCAGAATATTAGCACATGAAATGATACATTCTCAGAATATTAGCACATGAAATGGTACATTCTCAGAATATTAGCACATGAAATGGTACATTCTCAGAATATTAGCACATGAAATGATACATTCTCGGAATATTAGCACATGAAATGGTACATTCTCAGAATATTAGCACATGAAATGATACATTCTCAGAATAGTAGTACATGAAATGGTACATTCTCAGAATATTAGCACATGAAATGGTACATTCTCAAAATATTAGCACACGAAATGATACATTCTTAGAACTTTAGAACATGAAACAATATATTCTCAGAACTTTAGACCATGAAATGGCACATACTTATACTCAGAACTTTAGACCATAAAACTTTTTTTAAAATCAGAAAAAGAAAAAGAAAAAAAAAATGGAGAAAATATTTCTAAGGTTTCTACAACTTTATTTTTGTAAAAAGAAACTATGCAGTAATCTGCAACAACATAGATAGTGTGTATTTTTATAACGACATAAACAATCTGCAACAACATAGGTAGTGTTTATTTTTATGTATATGGCTATGTTGGAATTTGCACCAATAGCTTATTTTATTTAATTATAATTAGAAGCATTAATTATAATAAAAGAATTCATTAATGCTTTAAAGACAGCATATATATATATATATTTTTATTTAGCAATATGAATATTTAATATATTTATTTTTATTTAGCAATATGAGGTTTTTTATTTAGCAATATGAAACATCACCTTGGTCAGTAGAGAAAGATCAAAACCATAGGCTTGAGAGTTTTTTGTGCCAGCATTCATATAATTACCAGTTAGCAGTAGTAACTAAATGAAATTAAAAGAATCTTAAATAAGATTAAAACATATTTAAAATAATTAGTCAGAACATGAATCTCTGATTCATCAACTTTTTCATAATTTCCAAGCATAATATAACATTATTTCATAAATTATGTTAATTATCTTACAAATATGACAATTGCATTATGTTTTTTCATCAAAAAATATTAATAAAATATAGTTAATATATTTAAAAAAATACTTCAAGAAATTTAGCCCATTTTTTCCCATTTCTAAGTTCTTTAGCAGCTTCAATTGCATTAGCAATATCCTAATAAAAAGAATAAACAATTATTCCTCACAAAAATTTTTATTTAAACATTAAGCATTTAAACAAAGATTTTTTTTACAGGTTTGATGTCATTTAATATCTCATTAAAGTCAATTCGCGATTTCATACAATTCAATCTTTGGTCGAGTCTTGGAATGGCAGCCATCTAAAAATAAAAAAAACCTAAAAATATACAAAACTATCCTGTCGGATATACAGGCCTAATAGTGGTATTATTCGGTATCCAAAATCAAGCCGGATAATAAATTGATCCAATTTTTTATATACCGGATATTTCATGTTAATGTCATTTGAAAATTGAAAGAAATGTTAATGGTTTCTATTCAATATTGTTATTATTATTATTAAAATATTACTAAAATTATGTATGTGCAATAAATACATAAGTTTATTACTCATTTATATTTCTTTTACCTCAACATGGAGAAATTAACATTTCTAGCCTTGATTGTTTTTTCTCAAAAATAATGAAAACAATCTTCTGAAAATATAGAGGATGCAGGTGGTCCTAGTAACTTAAGTGCTAACTCTTTAAGCAGTGGAAACTTCTCTTCATGTTTCCAATAATTCAAAACAATTTTGATTATTTTCTATAATCGAGTGATTAAAGAAAACATTAACTCCTGGAGCAGCTTTGAAAAAGGAGACTTGATCAGAATTCAATACATTTTTTTATTTTAATACTTAATAAAGGTTGTAAAAACAATCAATTTACTGCACAATATTAAGTTTCTAACAAAAATCAACAAAACTGCACTAAAGTCAACAACAATCAACTTACTGCACAAAAGTCAACAATACATCGACAAAACTGCACAAAAATCAACAACAATCAACTTACTGCACAAAAGTCAACAATACATCAAATTACTGCACAAAAGTCAACAATACATCAACTTACTGCACAAAAGTCAACAATACATCAACTTACTGCACAAAAGCCAACAATACATCAACTTACTGCACAAAAGTCAACAATACATCAACTTACTGTACTAAAGTCAACAATACATCAACTTACTGCACAAAAGTTAGTCTTGTAATAACAAAAAATTACTTTGCAAAATTTTTTCTCATAAAAATAAATTTCATAGGAAAAAACAGTACTATTGTAGTTTTTTCTAGAGGCAAAATTTTTTAAATGTGCCTAAAAATAACTAAATTATATCCAAGCTATAACTTTTATATACAGTACAATAAGAGTAAAAACTCAAAATATAAATTTGATTTTTTATTAACTCTAGTTATGTCAAAACTTAAAAAAATCAACACCCAGCTTAATTATCCATCACTAATATCAACTTAAATTAAGTTTCTAATCGCTAAAAGTCATAAGTCAGATCACCAAAGAAAAGATCAAAATCATAAATTATATTATCAGAAGAAAGATCAAAGAATGAACATAACTTACTTGATTATAGTTTTTTAGTTTCTTTTTTTTAAAAGTATAATTTTTCAATAACAAAATTTTTTTTAAAAACAATATAAAACTCCACTGCAAACCTTATTCATTTATTACCTTTAAATGAATAAGGTTTGCAGAATTTTTTTTCTGCTGTTTTTTGAAAATGAGAACTAGTACACTAGAGTTTATAAAAATGCATAAATTGGTTTTGATAAATAAAAAATATTTCAATCAAAATAAAAGCTAAACTGCATGGATAAGACAAATGAATTTATTGCAAGAAATCAATGCAAGAATGCCTAGTATAACACAGGTCTATCATTTTCAGACTATAAAATCTTGACTTTTACCTCGAAAAGTTAATTCTAAAGACTTAAGGAAAATCTTTAACAATGTATTAACAAAGGCAAGTTTAACATTTTTTTTCTCATATATGATTCTGATCTTATTACCTCTCCAGAAGATACGACAGAAGATACGACAGAACTGTAAAGTCTAATTAATCTCTTGAATCTGTGAATCTAATTAATTTCTTGAATGACCAAATAAAATAATACTTGGAATGGAAAGACATAATTTCAATAAAACTCAACAAAAAAAAATTTGATTATGTGAAATCTCAGTTCAAATAATAAATTTGACTATGTAAAGCCTCAGTTCAAATAATAAAAAAAAAAATTTAAATTTTAATGGTTTAATTATTGTACATTAGATAAATTTTGCAACAAAAATGTGGAAAAATATAACAACCTTTCTTTTAGGAATCAAATATTTTGGTGAAATTTTTAAATTCAAAATGATCATATTAAAGATAAGATAAAAATATGGATTACTAAAATTTTTAGATAAAATACTATAACTAATACTTTTTCATTCAAAAAAATTTAAACTTTATATTGGAAAAAAATTTAAAATCACCACCCAAAATCAAGCTATGGTAAGTCAATATACATATGACATTCTGGTTATAATATAATTATGAAAAAACAAAAAATCAAAAAACTAAATATGTATTTACAAATATACCTGCAATGCAAATTGCTCTGCCTGATTTAATTCGTCATAAATATCGCGAAAAGTCTTCAACTGATTCATCTAAAACAATAAGTAGAAGCCATCAATATAAACAAATAAAAAACTAACGTTTAACAAATAATAAATATTTAAAAGTATACTAATATGATGAAAAAAATTAGACAAACATTGCATGCAAACATTACTTACAATAATAATAGAAAAATATATTATTAAATTTTTTATAAACACTTAAAACCAACAAAGATATACAACAAACATATCACAAAACAAAAACTTACAAAATAAAATATTGACTACAAAATAAAAAGTATGCATACAACAATGTGAGGTCTAAGAATGGAAAAAAAAGTTAATGCTAATGCGTAAACATAATTTATGTAGCGGTTAAATAAACATCAGAATTGTGACTATTATTCCTGGTATTTCGATAAGGATTAGCACTAAGAACTAGTTTATCCCGTCAGATAAACATCGCCACTTATGCTTTACCTAGTGACTAAAAAAAAAAAAAAAAAAAAAAAAAAAAAAAAAAAAAAAAAAAAAAAAAAAAATTTAACCACTTGGCTAAAATTTATCTGATCTAAGTACAGTATTTATTTAGTCTTATTACAGTATTTTTTAAATATATTGTTTGTCCGCTGGTGTTCACATTATTAATATTATTAATGAATTTTTTTAAACTATATTATCTCACATTCCTTAATCAGTTTGTTTTAAGTTTATAAGAGTTTCTTATATCCTTTACCACATTTTAAAATCTTTATATTTTTGGTGGTAACATTTTTTATGATTTTTGACTTAAGGTTGCGAGGGTTATTTATTCGTACACTTTTGATTGGTTTACATAATTCGAAGGAGGTATCTATGACAGCATTAGGGTTTATTGAAGACTCTATTGTGTTTTGTTGACTTTTTAATAAGGTAGGGCCCTACTATGACTTTAAGAAAACTTTTATCTCTGTCCTAGAGAGGCACAAAAGAAAACACAGCCTTAAATTGTGCAAGTTTAAATCTTTGGTTAACCCTTAAACCACTGAAATAGAAATAACTTGAATCTTGTCATGATAATTTTGGTTTTAGCATAATTTTATCCTGACAAACATGAATACGAAGTCCATTTTTTATATAATCTTCATCTGAGAGTGCCAGGAGAAAAAAATGGAAGACCGTCTATAGGCGGTCTTAGTGGGTTAGGCTGAAAAAAAAAAAAAACTAAATACATGCATAATTTATGTAAAACAAATGTTTTTTTTCAATTTTCATACTCAAAGCATAAAAAAAGAGTATTATTCATTTTGATGATAGTCTTTAAAACAATTCTTTGCTTTGGAAAAGCACAAGTGGATATTACATTTAGTGCAAAATGTGTGTGTGTCAGATTTTTTGCAAAATTTGCACGATTTTTTTGATCCCCATTCAGGAAAATGATTCATTTCATCGAATCTTACACTTGCTACTGGATGAGCTGCTTTTCTACCGACATAATTTCTGTTAGTTGGTTGTGTAGCAGATGGACGGCCAACTGAACGTTTTTCAAGAGAAACACAGAGTTCTTTAGCAATGCTTACGCAAAATTCCTTCATGGTCATGTCTTTTATTTTATCATCACTATCCACAGTTTTATTATTTTCAGCATTAAGTCTTCTATACAAAATGAACGCATTTGTTACAGTCATGTCCAGAAAATGATAGAAGATCTTAGTTGCCATGTCCTGAGTTTTAATTTTGAGTCCATTGCGACCCAAATAAGAGTCCATTAAATCGACACCACCCATATGTGTGTTGTACTCTCTGATAATTTGCGGACAATCAATTTCATCATATGAACTTTTTTTTTTATTGTATCGAGCTACTTTTGATAATTGACTTGATGTATTATTTCTTTGGAAGGGCTCAGTACCAACATAAGTTGAGCACAGTCTGACATTCTTCGTATCCTTCCACAAAACTGTGGTGATGTCAACACCATAAGCCGATCCAACAAATTCTATTGAATAACCTCGTGGAGCTTTTTTCAGTTCTTCATTTTTGTCATCAGGAAGTTTGCACTTGGGAATACGATTTGCTCTCACAGTGCCAAGAGCATAAATGCCACGTGCTCTTAGATACACCATAACTGGCAGAGATGTGTAGAAATTGTCGAAATACAATATATGATTAACAAAATTTGGTATTGTTTGCGACAACCTAATAACAACATTCCCTGTTGCTCCAATGTTTGGAGTAAAAGGCAGAACTATGTCATCATTTTTGGCTGCGGTATATATTTCAAAACGGTATGAGTATCCATTGCTGTCACACAAAACAAAGAGCTTTACACCCCACTTATGAGGTTTGTCAGGTAAATACTGCCGTAAATGATGAACCATTTTTGTGGAACACATTTGTTCGTCAATTGATAATCGAGCATTTTTTGGAATTGAATCAAAGCGCTCAAGCAAATGTGTTGCAACATTTCTGATCCGAAAAATTGGGTCATATCCTATATCACCTTTTTTGACTCGTTTTGATTCATCGTTGAACGATAAATATTTTTTTATCTGCTCAAATCTGTTTTTTGGCATACTCTCTGGTATGTGTCGAAATCCGAATTCACTCCAATAATCTTCAATGTTTGGGTAACGGTAAACTGACATAAAAATCAAAACTCCAATGTATCGACGAATCCCATATTTGTCAATTTTGAACTTTGTGTTCAAGTTTTTTGTAATTGCAGCTCGATGCGTTTCCAAACTAATCAATTCTACCAGATCGTCTGTAAAAAAATAGTTAAAAAAATCCAATGGTGATTGCAGTTTTTTTACTACAGGTGGTAGGTCTGTACTTCCTCTAAATGCTACTTCATTGAGGTGTAATTGCATACACTTTTTACGCCAAACGATTTGTTTGAACTCATCTGAGTTTTTGTGAATATCTACCAAGCTAGCTCCTGTGAACCCACCAGCTGATGGTGTTACAGGTGGTCCTGAAACCTCTACACATGGTAATGGTGATCGAGCTCTTTTCTTTGGTTTGAATGACGTTTTTATCGCAACTTCACTCTGTGGTGTTGACATAGTAGCTTTTGTTTGTAGTTCATGAAGTGCTGGATTAGCATCTTCATTTTGCAGTGTTATACTTATATCTTTGTTTAAAGTTACAGTTTGTTTTGGTTCATCAATTTCACTCAAATTAAAATTGCTAACATTCATTGAAAAATGAAGTGCCTTTGTAAGCGATGAGGAATCCATTAGTTGCAAACAGCTATTTATAATGGTACTATGTTCAGGTTGAAGCTCATCACACTGATAATCTGGATCTTTGAATCTGTTGTCAAAATCCAGTAGTTGGAAATTACTGTTTATTGTTGTATTAGGTTCAGGTTGAAGCTCATCGCAATGATAATCTGGATCTTCAAAACTGAGGTCAAAATCTTCACATTCATCATCAGTTTCAGCTGAGTTCATAAAATTTACAATTTCTTCATCACTCATTGCAGAGAGATTAAACTTTTTCTTTCCATTATTTGGTTGTGGCATTTTCTAAAATCAAAAATATGGAAAAAAAGTACAAAAAAAAATTAAAATAAAATATAAATATATGTAGGTAAAATAAGAGGAAATTTTTATAGTCAAACCACTAACACCGTCTGTAGAAGGTGTTCATAAAGTACTTGTTTTAAATAAAAAAAAACTTTTTATTTATCAAACAAAAAACATATTATTAAAATATAAGGTTGAACAACTTACCACAAAAAATCTCAAGTCAATTGAGCTGTTTGAATATATTATTTTTATAATTTGAATTTGTACTGCAATCACAAATAATTTTGACGGCTGTTGACTAGAAATTCTCAACAAGAATAACCAAAATAATCAAACTACGCGCCAGAACGTGTTCAAACTTGTTGTCATTTGTAGGAAATTTTACAGACTAAAAATGGCCTTAGTGGTTAAAATCGATTTTTTATTTAATTTGAATAGTATTACATTTAGTGATGACCGTCTGTAGACGGTCTAAATGGTTTAAGGGTTAAACATTCAAACTCTAGAAGTTGACGACCAGCATTTTTTCTGTTAGGTTTTTTCATTTAATTTGACATTAGCACAAGTCATAGGTTCATTTCAATCATGGATAGATAGTTTTAGCACAGCCATGTTAGAAAAAGGAACTTGTAGTCAAATAGCTTTGCCGTTAAACAATAGTCCTTATAGTCTTGTGGATTTATTTGAATAACATATAAATAATGATAAGGATTTTTTTCCATTAACTTGTATGAGGAGTTTTATCTATCCAATTGGATTATAAAAATCAGCTATCCTTGTGAGATTTTCAATTAAGCACATGATTCACTTTCTGGACACATAAATGACTAGGAAGTAAGTATTTTGTAATGTAACACACTATTTGAGTATACTGTTCCGATTTTGAGGGACACAACATCAAATTTCTTGCAAAACGCACTAGAAAAATGCTTGCCAGTATCGTCCACGATTGATTCAGTCCGTAATGCTCAGAACTGTTGTTTGGTTGTTGTATAATACGCTGCCAAGTTAATCACACTTATCTTGTCCATAATGCTTTCTCTCATAAGAGTCAGATTCATTTCCAACATTACTATCTTAATTTACAGTACTTTTAAAGTACTGTAAATTTTTAAGTCTTTTTAGATTTTTTTTTTGGTGTCAGCGCAAAACAAACACAAGGTTAGTGGTAATAAGAAAAGAAATCGTTAAAAAAAGTAATTAATACAAACAATGCAAAACAGACTTAAGTTTAGTGTAAATAAAAAATTGTTAAGAAAAGTAATTAAAACAAACAATAAACAACAAACTTTTAGCGTTTTCACTTAGCGTAAATAAATAGAATCACTGTTGTATAATAAAAAATATATATGAAAATTTTTTTTTAAAAAAAACTTTTCAAAAACAATATTTTAAATATAGACTAAAAAGTAAAAGATAAACTATTTCACGGGACTTTGTGTACATACGCAACCTGAAATATCCATTAAAGTCAATGACTGAAAATGTTGGGCAACTATGTACAACTAGTTCCTATTGGGGCCCAACATTTTCAGTCATTGACTATAATGAATATTTCAAGTTGTGTATTTTTATATTTTATTTATTTATTTATAACACAGACTGGTTTATAACATTTTTAATAAACATTTTATAAAAAATTCTTAAATTTTTTAAATATTATTAATGTATATGATTTAGTAAATTAAATTTATATTACTTTGTTCATTAAGTATATTCAAAGTTATACATTAACTGATCGTTAGAGATAAGCAATGGGTAATAAACATGGATGACTGACCGTTGGGGGCTAGAAGTAGTTTAATGTCCTTACATTGACTAACAGTTAGGGATATGCGCTGCAAAATGTACTTACATCAACTAACGGTAAGTATGTAAGAAAACAGAATTGTCATTGTTAAATTTTAAAAATTAAAAAAGAGTTTTACTTTATAAAAGCCATTTATTTTTGTTTTTAACAGCTATTTAAACACTGAGAGAAACCATTGTTAAATTGTTGTGCAATTTAGCTTTATAAAAAATAACGAATATTAGAGTTTTATATTTATATTTTTTACATTATCGTCAAACTAGAACACTATATATTGATATTTAGACTAATGTTTTTTATATGATTTTTGATAGACACGAAATTCTCATAACATAATTAACTGAAAAAAATTGAAATAGTCTGCAGTTAGGGTTTACTCTAACCTTAGTTGGAGCCTTGTCCAATTGGAATATTAGTTAACTATACCTGCAGATAGAACTTTGGCACATTTGTACTTTGCTTATTTTATGCTAGATTGCAGTAAATTTTAGCTTGTTTTGTTTGTTGTTATACAAATAGTCCAATAATGTCATTATCTCAAAATTTGAAAATATGACAGTTTAGAACCTTGTGAAAGCATAAATGGCAATGATGTTTATTTGAAGGATAGTTATTAGTGATGATCCTCATCGAAACCACTATTACTTAACCACTACATTACTTAATTACTTAACCACTACAAAAATTATTTTTAATATTTTTCTCCATTTTTAATCCTCACATTGTTGTATGCATACTTTCTATTTTGCAGTCAATATTTTATTTTGTGAGTTTTAATCGGTGATATATTGGTTGTTTATCTTTGTTCATTTTATGTGTTAATAAAGTTTTAATTTTTTTTTATTTTTTATTATTGTAAGTATTGTTTGGGTCTTATTTTTGTCATCATATTAGTATATTTTTAAATAATCTTCTATTAATTTTTATTTTTTAACTGTCATAATATATTTTGTTTAAAAAATAATTTGTTTGTAATCTAATGTACTTTTTTTTTTTCAGGCATTCACTGCTTGTGTGACCATTAAGCAAAATTAAATGCAAAAATTTTTAAATAATAATCTTTAATAAATTTATACTTATAATTATACTTATAATTAAATATAATAAATAAATTTATACTTATAATTTATACTTATAATTAAATTTATTAAATTTTAAATTATAATAAAATTTAATAATTTAAAACTTAATAAATATACTCACATAGGGACACTCCCAGTATACACTCACATAATACACAAAATCACATACATAATACAAAACATAATACACTCACATAATACACAAAATCACATACAAACATAATACATAAATCAAATTTAAAACTGTTATTTGGTTGTTAACTGAACATTAGATTTGAAAAAATAAATTTATTTCTCTTAAAGCTAATTTCAAGCTTATTATTTTCTTTTTTTCAAATAAATTTTTATTTTATTTCATTGTTTAAACAAAAACTAATTCAAAGCAAATAAAATTTTAAAACATTTAAAATCAAAAACACTAATTTAAAAAAAAATTATAAAACTAAACTAAATTATAAAAAATTAAAATAATAAAAACCTGTTCATTAGTTGGAAGAAACTTTAGCAAACTTTCTAATGCAGAATTAGTAATTACTTCTTCATCACATAAAAAAATCTTTTGCTTTATTTGCTCATAACTAAGTTTGAATGAACCAACAAAAATCGCTATTGAAAAAAATGTATACATATATATATATATATATATATATATATATATATATATATATATATATATATATATATATATATATATATATATATATATATATATATATATATATATATATATATATATACACATATATATATATACAGGGGTCGAAATAAGTGCCGGACATCGCCGCCCCTCAGACCATTTTTGAGACCTGCTATATGAGGGCAACCTACCATTGTTCATTTTTACTGCAAAAATGAACAATGGTTTGTTGCCCTCATCTAGCAGGTCTCAAAAATGGTCTGAGGGGCGGCGATGTCCGGCACTTATTTCGACCCCTATATATATATATATATATATATATATATATATATATATATATATATATATATATATATATATATATATATATATATATATATGACACTACAAAAAATAAGGTACAAAAAATAATTATAAAAAATATGTATCTCTAGCAGTACTATAAGGCAAGGTAAATAATTTTAAAAAACATGTATTGTCCATAGTAGTGACCTAACCATTTTTATATCAAAATCTCTGGCAACTCTACACCCAGCTTAATTATCCATCGCTTATATAAACTTAAATTATGTTCCTAATCACTAAAAGTCATAAATCAGATCACCAAAGGGAAGATCAAAATCATAAATTATCTCTCTCATATAAGGTTCTGGTCTTATTACCCCTCCAGAAGATAAGACAGAACTGTAAACTCTAATTAATCTCTTAAAGCTAATGACCAAATGCTTGCTGTCATACCAAAGATGTTTCTTTTGATAAATCTACTGTTAGACATTTTCTAGATTGTTAAAATTCTTTTTTATTTAAACTTTTCTACAGCATGTGGCATATTTTTCCTGTCACTGTTTTACATTAGCTTTCTCTAGAACAATTTTCATTACTTAACAAGTGAATAACTGAATTGTGTTTTCTGCCTGACCAAAAGTGGTTCCAATTTAAAAAAAAGAAAATCACTCTGACATCTCTTACTATATCCAATCAGTCTTCTTAGTATTATTATAAAAGTCTTTAATCTTCAATCTTATCTTGGTTCTAATCTTATCTTGGTTCAATTCTCTAAGAACTTTTGTTATTTAAAATCATAGAGATCTTTTAATATTTAAAAAGAGGTTTGGTTGATAAATAATTAGTTTGTCTACTTTAACTTTGTTTTTGGAAATAAAATATATTACAGTATTTCTTTTGCTAAATAAGCAGGCAATTTTTAAAAAATTCTATTGTTTAAAAAATTCTATTGTATTCTTTTCTTTAAAAAATGTCTAAATTTTTTTTTTTTAAAAAGGTAATTTTTCAATTAATAATTTAAAAAGGTCATTTTTTAAAAAAAGTCATTTTTAAATGTCTAAATTTGTATTTTAAAAAAGGGTCATAATTTGTATAAATAACTGTTGCATTTACACTTTTCATTAAACAAAAACTAAAATAAAAATAAAAATTGATAATAAAAAAAATGATCAGAGAATATATGACTTAAGTTACTTAAGCATATTCCCAAAAAATCTGTTAAAATTTTTTTATAATAACAATTTCACTTATAAACTATATTAATGTAAGAAATGTTTATCGTTGAATCAAAAACTTACATAAGTTCTGAGCAGTTTTTGCGTCTAGCACTTTCAGTTCCAGTCCTTTTTTAGGTTTAGAATCACTAGCAAGACTATCAGTTGATTCCCCAATATTTTTGGCTGGTTTTGAAGCAAATGTTTCAGATATAAGATCTAAAATATTTTCTTTCACTAAAGAATCCTCTTTAACTTTAGTCCAAAAACTTCCGTCTTTTAACTTTGTAGCATGAATCTAAATCAACAAAAATGTATTTTAAGCTAGACATTTTATTTTAAGCTTAGATCTTTAGAAAAAAAATTCTTATATTTTTATTATATATTAAATTTTTGTTAATCAAAACTTACAACATTCCAATTTAAGCGTTTTGTTTGTTTAGTTTGTGTGTACTGTGTCTTCTGAGATAAACCTGCTGGTAGTTTTGGACCAGACATCATTCCCATTCCTGGTGCTGGAGGTGCACCAGGAGCACCAGGTGGTCGAGGAGGTCCGCCAGGAAATCCACCAGGAGGAGGAGGAGGCGGTGGTCCACCAGGAAATCCACCAGGTGGTGGTGGAGGTCCACCAGGAAACCCACCAGGAGGTGGTGGTGGTGGTGGTACTCCAAAACCAGGTGGTGGTGGTGGCGGTCCGAATCCTGGTGGTGCTGGTGGTCCACCACCAGGAAAAGGTGGAGGTGGTGGTGGTGGAGGACCAGCTGATCCTGGAGGAGGTGGAGGTCCAGGTACTGCACCTTAAAAAAATTTATTTTTCATTTATTTATTTTTTCAACTAAATATTATTGTTTTATTCTAACTAATTTATAAAAATCACTTTTATTTAAAAAATAATTTATTTTGAAGAATATAATAATTATTATAATGACAATAACCACAATAAATTATGCAAGAAAACTTCAAAAAATTATTTTATTTTGTCTTAATCATTTAGATGATATCTAAATGATTAAGACAAAATAAAGACTCATAATTTAAACTTGATTATTGTTGCAATTGTTTTAAAAATCTTTATTTCTTAATATATTAAAACTGCATATTTCATATATCTAATTTTATATATATATATATATATATATATATATATATATATATATATATATATATATATATATATATATATATATATATATATATATATATATATATATATATATATATATATATATATACTTTAATCAAATGCCAACATGCAAACACGTTGAAAAAAGACGAAAAAACTATCATTTTGTGGTTCAAATAATGATACAGTTTTTTTTGTCTGTATGCTTCTTTTGATCAGAAAATGATTTAACTTTGTTTGCAAATGAAAAAATTTCATGTTTGATATCTTTTAAATAAAAACAATTGACCTATTATATTTATCAGAACCAATTTCATGGTGCATACTCACTTTTCTTTACTTTTGCTAATGAAAACGTTGGTATTCTATTAAAAACAGTTTTTAAAAAGTAACTCATTACTTTAGGTATTTTTTTAGCAATGTTTGTGATTTTGTTTACATTGAAAAAAAATATATATATTATAAAAGTTGCAAATGCACAAAATATTGTTTTAAAAAAAACAACTGATTAAATTTAATAAACTTCTTTGATATATCTAATAACTTGGGAAAAAAATTTTTTGAACATAAAACTCTCTTATTTGACATATCGAAGTATACAAAGGAAATGCACCAAGTCCGAAATCACCACTTTGAGATAATGAACAAATAAGTTTTTGTATAATAGTTAAAATAATAAGTTTTTTTGTAATAGTTGAAATGAAAAATCTTAATAATTCATTAATGATTGATTTTATTAAATTTGTGAGGTATATCAAACAATTGAGAATTTAAAATACTAAATAATATAAAAATGTGTGTATATACATATGTGTGTGTGTGTGTGTGTGTATGTGTGTGTATATATATATATATATATATATATATATATATATATATATATATATATATATATATATATATATATATATATATATATATATATACATACAGGGCCTGTTCTATGAAAGAAATTTGGGCGGCGGTATCCCCTCCTTTCGGCAAACTTTAGCAGAAAACAGCCAGTTTTTTCGCTAAAATAACAATATTTGCTGTAAAAAATGTTTAAAAAAAAAGAAAAAAAAAAAGGTTTTCAAATTTTACGGTCGACGCTGTTGAAGATGGTCTAGAATAGCCCCTGATATATATATATATATATATATATATATATATATATATATATATATATATATATATATATATATATATATATATATATATATATATATATATATATGAGCACACTCATATACAAATCTTGTTAAGAATCGTTATGCCATATAAACTTTACTTACAGAATGGCAATTTTACTTATGCAATATGCCATTTACGTTACACCTAAACTTTTTACAATTAGATTATTTAAACAGTCATTTATCATATTTTATGCAGAAAACATTAGGCAGTAATTAATTGTTGTAAAAAACATTTTTATAGCATTTGTGAAATAATTTTTTCTCTAGATAATTGACCACCTTTAAAGTGAGAAGACGTGTTTTTGCTTGTTATACACAAATTTTTTTAAAAAAAAATTTAGAAAGTATTAATTAAAAAAATTAATAATGGTAAACGTCCAAATTCGAGATTTCAACATTTATAAAAAACTTCAAGAAAAAAAATTCGAAGCTCTTGACGCTTAAGTAAACGACTTAAAGAAGCGTATATCTGAACTAGAAAATAGAAAAATAAATAATCAAAATTCTAATGTTTTTTTTAGCAGTCTTTTTACTGCTAATAAACAAAATAAGATAAATGAGCAAGAGACAATATTTCTAAATGCTGTCTCTGTTGAAACATTGGAAAGAGCAAAAAGAGAAAAAAATTGTCATTTTTTGGTATTAATGAATCGAAAGAAACAGATGTAACCAAAAAAATAGATGATGATAAAAACGCAATTAATAAAATATTTACAGCATTTAAACTTGATAATGAGAAAATTACATGTCCTCATCATTTTCATTCAAAAAATGAAAAGCCAGGAATAGTAATTGTCGAAATGGACAATAAATGCGGTAGTGGTGTAGTCGTAGAGCGCTCGCTTCATAAACGAGTGGTTCCGAGTTCGATCCCCACCACGTCCCTGGTAGTACCGCGCTCAACTCGTTTCTCCGCTCAGCAGCCTTGTTCGTCAAGGTTCGTGTTTTGGAGTTATTGAGTTGAGAGAGGGTTATAGCCACAAAATAAGTAGCCTCCTCGTCTGTAGTGGCCTTCTCGGCCTTGAGGAGGTGAAGTAAAATTAAAAAAATATATATATATTCTGCTTAAGAAGTAATTAAGGAAGCCAGCAAATTTAGTAAAACTGACGAATTTAGAAATAAAGTTTATATTAACCCTGACCTTACCTAAGCCCAACAAGAAACCAAAAAATTAATCACAGAAATAAAAAAATTAGATAAAAATCAAATCGAAAATCAGCCCTTTTGATTCATCATTAAAGATGAGAAAATTATCAAAATAAAATTAATAAAAATGACTAAAATTCAAAAATTTTTAAAAGAAATGTAAAAATTAACAAGTACAACATCAGTAACAATAATAATAATAACAATAATACAAAAAGTAATGATTTTGGTATGCAAAACTTGGTTCGGATCTAGTATATATTTAGATTTACCTGGGTACACAATATAAAGAAATCGAATTGATGGTAGAAGAGGGGGTGGTGTGTGTATTTTTATCAAAAGAACTATTGAATCTGATATTTCTAATGTCATATTTAATTAAACATCTATTGAGCATATTTGGTGCAAAATAAAATTAGCAAATGAAACAATATTACTAGGTTGCATATAGAGACCACCAAATGCAACAGCAGAACTAAATAACCAGCTAAATGATGTAATTTATGAAGCAAAAAAGTTAGTGATTCAAAAAGAAGTAGATTGTCTTCTATTTAATGGAGACTTTAACTTTCCTAAAATAAAATGGAACAAATATGGTTTTAGTGAACATTTGTTGGAAAATACATATGAAAACAGTTTTGTCACAATGTTAAATAATTGTTTTCTTTTTCAAATGGTTTTTAAACCAACTTTTCAAATAAACGAGATAAAAGAAAATATTTTAGACTTAATTATCACTGATAAAAACAATAGAATTCTTGAAATAAAAAATGAGGACTTTACTAGGCAATTCAAATAAAGGCCATGATATATTAAAATATTAATTTATAGTGAATAACACTATCCATCTATATGTTGCTAATAGAAAAATTTTATACAGAAAATCAAATTTCCCAAAATGTCACAGTTTACTTATGAAGTTGATTGGCAGACATTATTTCTAAATAAAAATTCTAATGAATGTTATAATCTGTTTATAAAAATCTATGAGTCAGTTTCAAAACTTATGCCACCAATAAATGTTCAGTCAAAGATTGGTTCATTATGGTTAACTAAAGAATTAAAGAAAGAAATTAATTTGAAAAAAAGACTGTGGTTCAATTATTTATCATCAAATAAATCAAACTTTTTAAAGAAACTATTTATAATTCAACATAAAAAGTGTAAAGAACTAATTGATACAGCAGTTTATGAATATGAACCTAATATAGCAAAAAATCTAAAACAAATCCTAAACTATTCTATTCTTACATTAATAAAAACAAATCAGCCAAACAAGAAATTAAATTATTATGAAATCAAAATGAACAATGAAAAAGTTCAAAAAAGAGCGACAAAAATGGTCCCATCTTTAAAAAAAATGAAATATGAAAACAGAATTAAAGTTTTTAACCTGGAAACATTAGAAAAAAAAAGAATTCGTGGAGACCTTATACAAATGCATAGAATAGTATATGGTTACGATCTAATTTCATTACAAAAACCAATAAATTTTATAACCAACAGAGTATTAGACGGAAAAAAATCAGAAATCACAACTACAGATTCTCAAGAGAATACGCTCAAAAATGTAACCCAAGACAACTTTTTCTTAAATCGAGTTTGTTGGAATTGGAACAATTTAGATCATGAAACTGTTAATGTGAAGACAATAAACTCTTTTAAAAACAATATTGATAAAAGATGAAAGTAAATTTTAACTGTTATAAAGTAATCTCTTATGTGATTTATTTCTGTTTTTAAAAAAATTTTAATTTAAATTTATTTCATTTTGTTTAAATTAAATTTATTATTAAAAATAAACAAATTTAAATTCATTTTACTCAAATTTGAATTTATAAAAATTTATTTTTTTAACTTTTAAAATTTCCGAACATGTTAAAGAAAATTCTTTTCATTAAATTTTATTTTAGTCACTTTTTTATGTTTGTTTTACTTTATATTATATAAACTATTTGATTTATTTATACTTTAATTTATTTATCAACTTATCTATTATTTATAGTTTCAAATCAATAAACTTTCTTCATCCCATTACAAAAGTGCTAATATACAAATAAAACTGTATAAAAATGCATTGCCACATAAACCATGATCAATTTTTTAGTCAAAATTATAAAGCAAATATAAGACAATAATGTTTTAACAACATTTAAATTTCATTGAAATTTTTTTATAATAATTGTTTAATTTAAAAATATTTTATAAAGATAAAGACTTTAAAATTTTTACTTTGAAATACAAAACTGACATAATTTAACTTTTAACGATGTAAATATGAATATTTAGTGTAGCTACATTTAATGGCATTATGTTTTTCCGTTATGCAACAAAACTTCATAACAAAGGCTATACACACGCACGCACACACACACACACACGCACACACACACCGATGCATCCTTATATATTTTTATATATATATATATATATATATATATATATATATATATAAATTGCTGTTATAAAAGTTATTCATATCTCAGTCAAAATATGTACTAAAGCCCCACCATGACAATGATGATGTAATATTAGTAAAGATATAAGTGTATGAATGTATATATATATATATATATACATATATATATATATATATATATATATATATATATATATATATATATATATACATACATATATATATATATATACATATATATATATATATATATATATATATATATATATATATATATATATATATATATATATATATATATATATATATATATATATATGTATATATATATAAATTGCTGTTATAAAAGTTATTCATATATATATATATATATATATATATATATATATATATGAATAACTTTTATAAAAGTTATTCATATATATATATATATATATATATATATATATATATATATATATATATATATATATATATATATATATATATATATATACAGACACACACACACACACACATATACTAAAAATAATAAATTTATTTTAAAGTTCAACTTTTTAAATTAAACATACCAGGTACAGCACCCCCAGCTTTTAAAGCCGCAATTTCCTCTTCTAGACGCTTTAGTTGCACTTGATGATTTGACTCTGCAAGTGATACCTTCGCTTCTGCCTCAGCTCGTTTAGTTGTCTCTTCTTTTAACTAAGAAAAAGAACTAATGAAATAATACACTATAGTACTCAATAAAAAGTGCATAATCAATAAAAAAACAGTGATACAGGCTTGGTCGGGAAGCGGGAGCGATCGCTCTCTATTGCTGACCACGTAAATAATATTTAGTTGCGAAAAGCTGGCCAGATTTTTTAGTCGTTTTGAGAACATTTTAAAAAGCAAAAAAAAAAAGCGCCTAAGATTAATTGGACCGATGAGAGACAATTACAAAAAAAAAAAAAAAAAAAAAAAATAGGTAAATAAAGTATCTTTAAACGCGAAAAAACTTAAAGCTAAATAAATTACGTTTAAAACAAATATTTTCAAAACATCGCTCTTTTATAATTTTTTTTAATAAAATTAAGTGATGTTTTTTATATAAAGTAACAACTTACTATTGTTTAAAAAGGAATCAAATATTCTTTATTTGACAAAGTTTGCAAGTTTTAGTTTTATTTTAGCTAAATTATTTTATAAATAATAAAGTTATTTTTTTCAATACCTTTTTCATGTTTCGCGTAGTTTGAAAAGTTTAACATATTTGAAGCAATTCTTATTAGTAAGATAAACAAATGAAATAATTAAATCATAGAAATTAAATTAACAATATAGAAATCAACTTAAGGTTAACAATACTTTATGAGGAGGAAACGAAACTGCTTCACAATATTGCTGGTGATGTTTAGTGAGTGGGCTTTTTAATTTTAATTAGTATTTAAAGCAGAAAAAAAGTATAACGAGTTTTTAGAATGGCAACTTAAGCGAAAATAATTAGAGTTAGTAAACCAATATCAAGTAACTTTTCTTTATATCTAATTATTTGCTATATACATTTGTGTTCTATCGTGACCTTGGGCGCGGTGCTTGTTCATCTGCGAGTTACTTTGTACGCGTTGTTTGTGTTTAGTAACTAGAAACTTCTTATATGTTTGTTACATAATTAGTTTTATTAACTATAACGATTATAACTTCATTGAAAACGCAATTGTTTTTGTAATTGATGTTTTGTAATTGATGTCTTTGTTTAAATCGTAAAAATTGCTTTAAAAGATACATTACGATAAAAAACAGATAAACAAAATTAAATTTACATAAAGAATACATTTTTGAACCAATAGAATTAGTTTCTTCGTTAATTTGGCGGGTTTTTAGTATTCTTTTTATTCTTTCGCGCAAAGATGTTTTGGAACATTCAAGTTTATTATGTTTCCATGTATGTCCGTAAAACAAAAATTTTTTGTTTCGTACATAAACTTAAATGTTCTCAAAACGACTAAAAAACCTGGCCAGTTTTTTGCAACTAAATATAATTTCCGTGGTCAGTATTCGAGAGCGATCACTCCCGCTTTCCGACCAAGCCTGGTGATAATCCATAAATAAGTAATGCATAAATAAAACAATTCATAAAGAACGACAAATTTTACATTATATTTTATTAAAAATTTTGTTTTTATAATGGGCTGTCTATAAACGACATCACGCATCTAGGGGAGGGAGGGGTCCAGACTTTTGTGACGATCTGTGACAAGGGGGAGGGAGGGGTTGAAGGAGTGTGAGTCACAAAAAATATATTATATAACAAATTTTTTTTATATTGAAAACTCTATAAATATATATATATATATATATATATATATATATATATATATATATATATATATATATATATATATATATATATATATATATATATATATGTATATATATATATATATATATATATATATATATATATATATATATATTTATATATGTATACATATATATATGTATATATATATATATATGTATATATATATATATATATATATATATATATATATATATATATATATATATATATATATATATATATATATATGTATATATATATATATATATATATATATATATATATATATATATATATATATATATATATATATATATATATATATATATATATATATATATATATATACTTTTAAAACAAAATTCTAAACAAATACAATTCTAAATGATGCAATGAGTCCTTATATTAGACTTAATGCACTCACGCATTAAGTAGTGACAAAAATTTACTCATAAAAAAGTTCACGTTTTACCATAAAACAAAATAACATAACAAATTGAATATAAAAAAGTATTTGCAAAAACTAAATGCTCTTTCGACAACACTCCTAACATTTCGGGCTTAACAAATGCTATCTACTATTAAACTTTCAACTATAAACTATTAATGTACATAACAAAAATCTTTTGATTTCAAATTTGCAGTTTGATAAAAAAGATACCGATATTGTTAGTGATGAATTAGAACCTGAACCTAGTACTGCAATCGCAGACACAGAATGGAATTCTGAGTTCTGATTTAGTCAGTTTGTTCAAACGACAAAAATGTGAAATGTTTTTCATTTAAATAAGATGTTGAATTAAAAGAAAAGAAAAAGAAAAAAAAAATAATTTAGAACAGCAGTTGAATAAAAAGAAAGCTGACCAGAGAAGAGTAAAAAAAGCAAGAGAGCTGAAGAAAAGAAAATTAATTTCTTCTTTTGAAGATAATCCAGAACTAAGAAAACTCTGAATGTCAGAGACAAGCCTGAATGACCAACATTCAAACAAAATCAGCCTTTACTAATTGAAACTGGTGTGAATATTGCTATGCATGGATCAGCATCTTATGAAAAACGAAATATTGATGTAAATAGAAGCATCAAAACGTTAGACCAACTGGCTGAACAGTTGAAAATAAATGGCTTTACAATCAGTAGAGGTGAGCTTTACCTTCGTTTCTTACAAAAGCACAATTTGTTTCTTGAAGGCCAGCGTCATGTATCAATGATACGATTAAAATTAATTAGAGCACATAATGATGAACATGCTAAACATATCAACGATTTATTTTGTACTGCTACAATAAGGCACTTAGAAGAGTTAGCATCAATGTTGGAAATGAATGAAGTGTGTTTTTGAGTCAATATAACAAAGCTTGTGTGCCAATTGAGTTGACTGCTGCCAAAAAACATAGTCCATTATGCACATTGAGTAGAGAGTCAGCCTACCTGACCATGATTAGGTGATGGCTGCAGAACACAAATTAATTCCATCGGTGTATGCTGGAATCTCAATTAAGTCTAATGGTCTTGGACAAAGAGAAGTAGTAGGATATTCTGGACCAATCTATATAGAAAACAGATCAGAAAAACACTAAAATTCAACAGCATTCAGCTATGGATTTGATTTTCAAAAAATGCTTACACTCAAGGAGTTTGAAATCATTACAGAAGTGGTATTGATGGATTGGTTAAACCAATATTAGTTTTGATAGTTGATGGTAGCCCTGATGAGAACCCAAGATACTAAAAAATAATAAAGGTTGCAGTTCACTAGCATGATTTTGATGCTTTATTTCTTGCTACAAGTGCTCCTTGAAGAAGTGCATTTAATAGAGTTGAAAGAAAAATAGTACCCTTTAGAAAAAGACTGGATTAATATTATCACATGACCACTATAGTAGCCATAAAACAAAATGACAATAAGTGCTGTTTGGAACCAAGAAGTTCCTATTTAGTGTGATAAAAGACAGATTTCTTCAAATTGTTCAAACAAAGAAGGTCCTGAAATTTCACAATGAACAACGGACCCAGCATGCCATCAATTTCCATCTCTGTTTGCAACACAAAATGTAAAAGGTGACAACACCCTACCCCGCTCTTCAAATCCGTATCGGTCAATTCCATATGACTTCTACTGCCCATTAATATTTTTTCCTAGGATACTGGTGTCAATGCCCTTCCAGTTAATTCCAAAAAGGAACATTTTTATTCACCATAGGAAAAGTTTCATGTTTCTCACGAATTAACTCATGAAGTATTATAATTGTAGAAGGACAAATCTTTTACTACCCATTAGAAATATGCGCTCATGGAGTCTTAATTTACTGATTATAATGTCCAGTTATCAAAATTTGCATGAGGAACTTGTTGAACAATTAGTAAGAAAAACTGAAAATAGTGAAAAACCTAATTTAAATAAATACATTATGCTTTACAACACAAATGTTGGAGTTCATAGACCTTTGATAAAAAGTAAGCTTACAAGTAAAAAGTTATAAAAACTGTAGCAAAAACACTCCTTTTATAGGTCAGCCTCACCACAATTTAATTTGCTATGTCTATTTATACTTTAATGCAATCTACAGTTTTAGAAATGTTTCAACACTCATTCATTAATTTTACTCTCATTAAAAGGGTTGCATGGTTTTAACCAAATGGTTTAAACCAATTAAAATAATGTTGGTTTAAACCAAACTAATGTTTTTTTTAAAAAGATTTGAACTTACAACAGGAAACTAGGAAAGGGTTATGCTCACAAATATAACTAATCTTCAATATAGATATATTTTTTTAAATCCATGTTTTTTTTTTTTGTTTTTTTTTAAATTTATCAATATGCTTCATCCAGGATACACTCTACCTAACAGAACTGAAATCGGAGGAGAATTATTAGATGGGTTACACAGAAGAAATTGAAAAATGCAACATATTAAATGGGAAAATTGTAGTCATGTCTTTAGATGGCTGGAGTAATGTACATATTGAACCTATAGTTTGTATATCTGTAATTACAGATAAAATTAACATTTTAGTAGAAACAATCAACACTTCTGGTCATTCACATACTGGTGAATATCTTACACAATTAGCAACGGCGACAATAGATTTTATAAGACGTAAATTTGGGTGCATAGTAAAAAGCTTTGTGACTGACAATGCAGTTAATGTGAAATCAATGAGACAAGTGTTGTCCTGAAAGAGATATTATCATAACTTATGGGTGTGCTGCTCATATGCTGAATTTTTTAGCAAATGATTTTAACATTGAAAATGTGAGCAAGCATGTAACACAAATAATAAAATATATAAGAAATAATAATCAAGCTGGAGCAATTTGTAAATTAAGCGGAGGAACAAAATTGCCACTTCCTATTGAAACTCGCTGGAATTCTGTATGTGATTCACTTGAAAAATATGTCAACAACTGGAGCATTATTTTTACAATGTTTGAAAAAAAAATAAAGACTTGGATCTCGTGATTGGTAAAAAGTAAGTGATATACAAATAAAGCGAAAAACAGAAGATTTATTGAAAATATTGAAACCAATTGCAGTAGCTCTAGATAAGTTGCAAAGAGATCAAACAAAAATAAGTGACTCTTGAAATTTTTAAAGATTTGATGAACAGTTTATTATTTTTATCAAAAAAAAAAAATTGAATCTAGATACCTTCAGACTGTCAGTAATTTCCTGGCAAACACACTAGATCCTAGATATTTTGGATCTAATTTTTCTGAAAATGATAATGAAGCTACCATGAATTTCGCAGTTAAAGAGTTCAAGAATTTGTTACCAATATTACTCAAATTAAAAGCCAAATCTACTATAACATAATGGAAATTGAAGGTTTATTAAATGCACCCGCTTCTATTGTTGGAATCAAAAGAATTTTTTCAACTCTTGGTCTTGTTCATTCTTAGTTAAGAAACCAATTGGGGGTAGCAAAGCTTGTATTTATATATACAACATTAAACAATGATATATTTTGATGAAATTAAACAATAATATTGATAAAGAATATAGTTTACTCAAATAAAATATGTTATGCTTTTTTTAATTTAAAAGGATAACTAAATACTGCATTTTTTAGTAAAAACCTAATTTAAACCAAAAAAACATGGTTTTTTTGGTTTTTTTTTAAAAATTTATAGTTTTTTTTTTTTTTTTTTTTTTAAAAAAACAGTTTTTTTGCAACCCTGCTCATTACATTACTTTTTACACTGCATTCATTACTTTTTTAAAAAATCTTGTTTATATGATCTAAATAAATGTCACGATAAAAAATATATATCAAATCTTGATTTTGCACTGAACCGATTTGCTATGTTGGGAAAGTAGCTAACTAACTATTTTTTTTTACTATTTTTTTTTTTTCTTCTTTTTTTTTTATATTTAATTTTTTTAACAAGGTTAAAAACATAAACAAGGTTAAAAATATTGTCTGCAAAAAAATACATTATTTTTTACTTATCAAAATTAGAAAGGTGATAAAATAAATGAAAGCTAAATTTACACTTTAAAAAAGTTTGTATTCACTTCTGAGAAATTTATACCAAGCCTGTATTCATTTTTTTTCAATTTACAACAAGCCTGTATTCACTTCTTAGAAATTTATAACCCTACAAATTTAAAAGATTTAGTTAGCAAATATTTGAAATTAACAAAACTTATCTATCATTATAAAATATCACTAAAATCATCAGTCTAATTTTTTCATTTTCATATTTCAATTTTTAAATACCAAATTCTAACTGCTTTTCAATGATATATACTTAGTAGAGATTATATTGTAAGAAAAAGCTTTTCAATGATATATACTAGTAAAGATTGTAAGAAAAAGCTTTTCAATGATATATACTTAGTAAAGATTGTAAGAAAAAGCTTTTCAATGATATATACTTAGTAAAGATTGTAAGAAAAATCTTTTCAATGATATATACTTAGTAAAGATTGTAAGAAAAAGCTTTTCAATGATATATACTTAGTAGAGATTGTAAGAAAAAGCTTTTCAATGATATATACTTAGTAGAGATTGTAAGAAAAAATCTATTTGAGTGTTAGCATAATAAAGCTTTTTTCTTCTTCTAACGTTGTCAAAATAAATTGATGATAGGGTTAAACAACTTGCAACTCATTTATTAATTTTATATTATAGTTCGAGTTATCATATAAGTTTTTACATAAAATTTAAAATTAGCACAATAACATAACTTGAGTCAATTATGAAAAACTGTTTTAAAAAAAATACAGTTAACAACATAATTTAATTTAATAACAAAAATAATTTTAACTGATTCTTTCATTCATTGGTGTTTTTTAGATAAAAAATATGTCAAAGATTTTTGACATATTTTATCCTTATACGTTTTTTGTTTCATATTTTTTCAATATTATTTTTCAAAATAACTTGTATTTTATTTATAGATTTTTAAATATTGTATAACTGCAAATAATTAAAATATAAAGTTTAACCTTTACTTCCAATACAGACAGTTTTTTATCAAACTCAGCAACCTTTGCTCCTTCAACTTGTCCCTCTGAAAATGTATAAATAGAAAGTTATGTATTTATTTTAAAATGTATAAAATAAAAAAAAAAAATTTGACCATGTTAAAACCTATTAAACTGTCAATATCAATTTGAAGTTTTCTTGCTGCAAAATCAGGATCAACACCACTTTTTTGCAAAACGATTTGTGCAACACATTCGTCGATAAGTTTAAAATACTGAGGACGCACAAAAACATCATCTCTTACTAAAAGTAAGTGCTGTAGAATTGATAAGTAATGTGACTCGGCAGGAGTGTTTTTAACAACTGTATTTAAAAGATTTATAACATCAGAAAGATCTTCTAAATGAACAGTGATATCGTTAAATCGATGCTGAAACTCGACAGCATCATCATCTTTATGTTCATCAAAAATATCCAGCTGAACATTTAAATCTTCGGTGTCAATTTCTCGAAGTCCAGGCAAAGCTTCAGCAAGTCCTTCACGTATCACTTCATTTCTTATATGCAACCTAAAATCTAAATCTTCAGGTGTAGCTACAAGTGCATTAATCATTTGTAGGCAGGCTACCTACAAATAAAATATAAATTCAGCAATATATTAAATCAAAAATTTTTTTAAAATTGATTCAAATTTATTTTAACAGGTACCATACCTTTAGAGAAGCAGGATATTGATCACCTTTTAAAGCTGTAATAACAGCATGAAACCTGGTTTTATTTTCAGCCTCTCCTTTTAAAGTCATTGCTTCGAGAGCTTTATCATGGCTAATAAATTGAAGAACTTAGATAAATCATAACCATACTAAAATTATTTGCTTTTCATAAATTAACTATTATAAAAAAATTATGTTATGATCATATAAGTTTATTAATAAAAATTTTTATTAAAAATAATAAATTTACTCAACAAGACAAACAGCTGCCATTATTTTCACAACATCTTGCATCATCCCTGCATTGTCTGAACGAATACATTGAGCTAAGAGTGTCAAACCTTGAATATTTTTAAGCATTAAACTCAAACCAAACTAAAAACAACCAGTTTTAAAATAACAATAACCTTACAACATTTTAACTGTAACAAACAAAGTACAAAGATACAAAGATAAAAATACTGTAAAGAACAAAGTACAAAGATAAAGATACTTTGAACTAGTTCACACTAAACTTGGAAAATTTAAAATAAGTTTCAACTTTTAAATCCATAAACCAGTCACCCATTTTAATTGGTTATTTCCCCAAAAAAAATTATCATAAAAGCATATTTTACCTTTTATACTCGTAAATTTATATTTTATAAGAAAATAAACACAAATAAGAAACGAACCCAGACCTGTTTTAGTACTGCTGGTATGAGTGCCCAAAAAAAAAGCGCCCAAAATATTTTTTATTATTGCTTATACTTTTTTATTAAAAATAGGGAAAAAAACTTCGGTTTCAAATGCAGTAGTAAATGATCAATTTTTTTTTAATTTCCAGTTCATTTTTTTCTTCAGGAAAATAAAATGGAATAAAAAGAAATTATGTGGCGTAACTCGTTTAATGTTTAAAATTGTCCTTTGGTTACTAATGAAAAATTAAATATTAAAAAAATGAATTAAAACTGAACAATTTTAAAATACCCATTTATAGCAATGTTACCTTTTGCTTTTTGGCAATTAGGATTTAACTGTTTTTAATAATAAATAAACAAAAGTAAAAATTAATAACAATATAGTTGCAATTCTAATTGTACAAATTTAATTTTTGAATGAATGCACTTTTGATTTTTAATTTGCTATTATATTTTAGATTAGGTAAACAAAAAACAAAACAAAAACTTTTTCAGAAAAAAAGAATATGAAGAGAAACTTTTGTTTCTCTTCATATTCTTTTCAACTTTAATAATAATAGAAATAACAATTTTTATTTTTAAACATTTTTTTTATTTTTAAACATGTATAGCTTTAATATTTTAAAATAGTAAATTTAACTTATTTAATGTACCCAATATTTTTAGAGATATATATATTTACGTTTTTAATCATAAAGTTTACTGTAGTTATCTCTTTTATTTAAAAGACGCCTCAAAGCACTATGAAAATTAACCTTTAATAAAATTTAAATGAACATAATACTCAAATCGATATGAAAACTAAGTAATATAGTAAATATGATTATTAAACACTTATATTTGGTATAAAAATAATTATTGTTTATATAATATATTATATTATATATAGAAAATAACTATTCAAACATTTGTAATTACTATCATTTTAATTTTGCAAATACTATGCAATTTGTAAATATTGATTAAAAATTATTTAAAGTATTTTAAACATTTAAAAAACTACTAAAATTAATATTACTAAAATATAGTTACTAAATGTTTAAAAAACATTAAACAATTTCAGTAAATATTTAAACATTTACTAAAATCTTAAACAAAATAATTTTTCTTAGCGTAACTTAAGTAGCTTACGCTCACCACTAAACTCATGCTTTTTACAACGAGGTTCCTTTTTAAACCAACTCCTTAAATTATCTTTGCATAAAACAAAACAAGGTTAACATAAACAAATGGATATTTAAAAACCATAGCCCTGGCATCAGTTTTAACTTGGGGAGGCTGAGGACAACTCAAAAAAAATTTCCCTCCCCACATCACCATAAAAACACAGTATCCTCAAATAAACTGCACCTGTATATGCAACTCTTTTTTAATTTTAAAAGTTAAAATAATTCTTTTTAAAGATTAGTTTTCAAAACTTTCTAATTTTTTGATGTTCTTTTTATTGTAAAGTTAAAAAATAATTATATAAAATTAATAAAAAATAAATATTATACAATTAATAATAAATAATATAGAATTAATAAAAATAGATAATAATAACATAGAATTATTAAAAAATAAATATTAATAATATAGATTTAATAAAAATAGATAATAATAATATAGAATTAATAAAAAATAAATAATAATGTATATAGAATTAATAAAAAAAAAATAATAATGTATATAGAATTAATAAAAAATAAATAATGTATATAGAATTAATTTATAGATAATATAATATATATTATCTATATAATATAATATATATATATATATATATATATATATATATATATATATATATATATATATATATATATATATATATATATATATATATATATAATATATATAGATAATATAATATCATGTAATATATCAATAATAATAAAGAATTAATTAAATTAAAACAAAAAATAAATATTAATAACATAGAATTAATAAAAAATAAATAATAATAATATAAAATTAATTTATAGATAATATAATATATATTATCTATATAATATAATATATATATATATATATAATATATATATATAGATAATATAATATAATATAATATATAAATAATAATATAGAATTAATTAAATTAAAATAAAAAATAAATATTAATAACATAGAATTAATAAAAAATAAATAATAATAAAGAAATAATAAATAATAATAATAATATAGAAATAAGCAATTGTGATATAAATATTGATTACCTTGTTATTCATAAAAGCTTTTAAACATTTCACACATTCATGTTGAATCTTCATGTCATATAATGAAGAGCTAAAATTTTTTTAATAAAAAGTTTTGACTATTTTTACAAAAACTTAAAATTTGACCTAGTTAATCAGAGTAAGAATCGACACCACGACACACGACAATATTATTGGGAAGTTTATTTCTTTCAAAAATATTTTCGCAAAAAAAATTTATTTTATATATTATTGGGGAAGTTGTCTTATATATAAAATATTAAAAAAATATTTTATTTTGAGAAACCATTTTTTTAATATTTTGAAACATTTTTAAAAGTTGGTAGCTTCAGTATATTAGACCAATGGTACATACATAATGTTGACTTAATGAATATTTGCAGTCATACAAGCAGAGAAAACTTTTTTGAAATGCTTGCAAGAACACAGATGTTAGCGCCAATATGAATGGTCAAGCTACTATTAATTGCAATCATAATAAAAATAGCTGTTTCAGTGACTATTATCTAAATCTTAACTTATACATGAGAAGATATTCTATATATAAAATATTGAAAACCTTCTTTCTTGGATCCTGCTAATAAAATGCAGCAGTAGACTAGTGGTAGACTCTGCTCACAACTAAGAGATTCCAATCCAGCGTATGCTTTGTTTAACCAGATTTGAGTCACAAAATTAAAATGTTTAAAAAAAGATTGTTGCAGTCTTGAAAGAATAAACATATCAAAAAAGAAAAAGATAGTAGACTTCATTACATTCAAGTACATGCAAGTATTTGCATGTACTTGAATGATTTTGTATCTTAAGCTAGATCTTTTTTAAACTAATTTAATGCAGGTATTATCAAAAAGCTGCTATAACATATATTGAATTGCTTAAAGTTTTTTATGTAAAATAATTTTTATTGTTCTTGAAATGCTAAAGTACTTTCTTTGCTGCATGACTGCAATGTATAAGGGCAGGAGCATGCTGTAAAACTTATAGCTCTATAAACATAAGTTTGGCAATAGAAAAAGCCACTGGTTTATTTAATAACATTATACTATTATGAACAATTTTTGATTTCTTGTCTCAATTTATAATTTAAGAGTGTATAATAAAACATTAATATATTTGTTGTAAAAAAAGAAAATTTAATATTTAGAGTAGAAATAGTCAACCATGTCAGCTACTTATCATCTATGACATTTCAAATGAAAAAAAAAAATTGCAACAAATTAAACAAACAAAATATAAACTTCTAAATGTTATTTCAAGAAAAAAATTAAATAAACCTGCAAATGTAATTTCTCAGATGATTTAATAAACATTCTAAGCCTTTCGAACCAAACTCAATAATCCAGCTATAAAGTTCAAAAATTAATATTAAAATATTTAATAAAATACAAAATATTTATCAAAAAAGCAATTAAATTACAAAAAAGGCTGATTAAATTAAAACAAAAAACTGCTAAAAAATTAAAAAGTCACTTAAAAATATATATAGAGTAGTTATAGCTATTACTTAGGGTAAGTACACCAACCACACAGGGTAAGTATAAATTGATACGTTTTTGAATTGTTTTTATATAACAGAAAATATCTATTAATAAACAAGTTTTTTTAAACAAATTTTTTATAAAGTTAAAAATGAACATATATTTTAAATAATCATTTACTATGTATTTATTATTTATTTTTAGCTTTCATTAACTAGCAGTAAGTGGACTTATTTACTTAACTAATCTACTTCCAGTATTTATTCATTTAATGTTTATTTTTACTTTTAAAACAAATCAAATAAAAGTTATATTTTAATTAACAAAAGAAAAGGGAATTGTGGTATAGAATAAAATCTTTGTTTTAAACTATAACATATACAAAAGTTTTGATGTTATACTTAGACAATTTTTATTGTGGATTTAACAAGCCTAATATTTTGTTTTGACAACTTGACCATGGCTGAAAAAAAAAATAAAAACTAAAATAAAATACAAAACTAAACTGAAATAAAATAAAAATCTTGACGAATGATAAAAAAAAAAAAATGAGAAAACTAAAAGCATAACATTAAAATGTCTTTATTTCAATTTAAAAGTGTTTCACTCCATAGAATTTAGGAAAGTGTTTTACTCCATAGAAATTAGGAAAGTGTTTCACTCCAAAGAATTTAGGAAAGTGTTTCACTCCAAAGAATTTAGGAAATTGTTTCACTCCATAGAATTTAGGATCGAAATTTTAAAGTTATTTAATTCAAACTTAATTACTTCGAAACTTATTTATAAATTTGAAACTCATTTACATATTTTCTAATGCAAGTACTGTTACAAAGGTAACAAACAATCAAGCGTAATCGATAAGTAAACAAAGTACTGAAGCGTGAATGTGTCTAATAGTCAATTTCGATTAACTATTAGACAATTGCACCGAAACGCGTCCTATCAAACCGACATAATATAAATAGAAGATAAAATTAGAGAATAGAGAGTTCGCTTGAACATTCGCTCAGACTTCGTAGAATCGTTCGATGTTGAGATGAAGATATAAGAAGAGGATATATTAAGAAGAGTTTTATAGAATAATACATATATAGTGAATATTATGTTAGTTAATGTAAAATAGTATCAGTTATATTAGTTGGAGTTTTAATAATACAGAATAAATTGTATTGAATAATAGTGGTTTGGAATTATTATTATTAACTGTTGGAATATTACAAAGAATAAAGGTTTCGGGAAATTAAAAATAAATATATAACTTAAATAAAAGTGGACTCTTGCTACCGCTGCGTAACAATAATAAGCAAACAAAACAACCAAATAAAAATCCATTAGAAGGGTTTGAACTCACTGAACTGAAAATATCCATTAGAAGGGTTTGAACTCACATTTATTTATCATATAAATAAGATTAAGTCTTTCTAAGCAATAATGTGCTAAAATGTGGAAAAATATTAATTGAGACTCTTTCAAATTAAAAATTATTAGGCTTGAACTATTATTTGAGATGCATTTAAATTTAAAAAAAATAATTTAATGCTTTTATTTTTACTGGTTTATCTTTTCATATTGTTTGTTAAGATTTTGTTTCTTTTTTTAGTTTATGGTTTGTTTATTTTTAATTTTTCAGTTGGTTTATTATCAAAACATACAAAGTGCCGAGGCCAAGTTATCAAAACAAAATATTATATAGTGGTTATATAAATCATGCGATCACACACCTCTTATTAGAAGACCTGATTTATGTAACTTATACATAAGATTTCAAGTAATTCTTAATAACCTCGTACCTTATTAATCATCATTTCTGAATCAAACTCGGCAGTCTATTGTCAATTGCAATATATAATAAATGAAAGATTCAAAAACCTTGCTTTTTTTTTTTTTTAAACATCTTTGCTTCCAACAAGGCTGCAAGCAACCACTAATTCGTATCGGAAGTTACTGGGAGAGAAAATATGAAGATTGTAGAACAAGATAACGATTGACAAACGAATTTAAAGATTGCAAATTATATGAATCAGGAAAGCAAGACGAAGGAAGCGAATTCCAAAGAACTGATGTTCGAGGAAAAAAATTAGACGAATAAGAGTTTTTGGAGCACTTAGGAACAGTAACAGAAAAAGGATGAGACTTAATTAAATGAGAAGTAATACAAGAATGAATTTTAGTAGATGGCACAAGAGACGCTTGCTCATTAGAGCAGTGCCCATTATAGATTTTTAAAAAAGAGAAAGAGAAGCAACATTACAACGATGTGATAATGGTTGAAGATTAGTTGCAAGAGCAGGTCCAACTATGTTTACAATAGGTTTTTGGACCTTGTCTAAAAGAGAAAGAGCATCATTAGAAGATCCACCCAAATATGGCAACAGAATTCAATACAAGGCCGTATTTGAGATTTAAAGAGATAGAGAATAGAATCCAAAGTAAGAAAGTGTCAAGCTCGATAAAGAGATGCAACTTTAGCAGATGCTAATTTTGCAACGGATTTGATTTAAGGTTTCCAAGAAATATCAGAAGTAAGAGTTAACCCTAGAAGATGAAGGGTAGATGACTCATCGAGTACATTACCATTCATAAATGTAGAAAGGTCGAAATTATTGCGATAATGATTAGCTGAAAAAATTGAGTTTTATCTGAATTAATATTCACCAGCCACTGTGAGCTCCATGCTGTAGAAGTAGTAAAATCCTTTTCAAGCTCGAATGCCCCCTGCAAGCAATCAGAGGAAGTTGGCTTCTTATCTTGACAAGAATAAATGGTAGTATCATCAGCAAACAACGCCACCTTAGATGTGAGAATATCTGGAAAATTGCTAATGTAAATTAAAAAGAGTATAGGGTCAGGGATTGAACCTTGAGGAGCCCCTAAGGTTACAGAATAAGAAGAAGAGTGCTGTCCGTCAAGGACAACTTTTAAAGTATGATTGGAAAAGAAGGATTCAATAATCCTAAAGATGTTTCCAGATACACCAAAAGGAGAAAGCTTATGGAGAAGACCAGCATGCTAAACTTTAACAAATGCTTTAGAAATGTCTAACTTATCTAATGTGCAATAAAACCTATCGGTTATTACTGTAAGCAAATCAGCAGTAGAATAAGAAGATCGAAACCCATATTGGTGATCACAAAGTAAGTTATTAGATTCAAGATGAGAGATTAAGTGTTTGTTAATTAAAGATTTAAAAACCTTGCTTATGATAGGAGAAGACTAATAAGACGGTAGTTAGACGAATCAGATCGCTTTCCTGATTTTTTAAAAATAGGGATAACAGATGCTGCTTTCCAGCAGGCTGGAAAACAAGACTCTGATAAACACTTGTTAAATAGTTTTGAAAAAATAGACAACCGCTACGGAGAACACTTCTACAAGACTATAACAGGCCACGAAGTTATGTAAGAAGCACATTTGTCAACAGGAAGACAAAAGATTTCTACCCAAGGGCTATCACGAAGAAACTCACCGAAAGATTCCCAGTCAGCTTTAAGGTAGTTGTAAGATGTACGATGATAGGGGGATTCTGATGATAAAGAAGAATGAGATTTCAGTTTTAGAGAGACCAAACCATGAAGCACCTAAGGGTGAATGTGGAGAAACTGAGCACTGACTAGGATCAGAAACAAGACATAAGTTGAGTAGAGAAGGTAAATAATTCGGGTTGTCTGGAAAGCGAGTTGGAAAGTTGACTATTTGAGTTAGGGATTGAGAAAGGCAAAAGTTGTTGGCTTTAATGCCTGCAGAGTCACTAACACTAGAGCCAAGCCATTTGGTGTGATGAACAATAAAGTCACCAACAACAACAATATTGGCTGATGAATAAAGAGAGAGGGCTTGGTCGATCTGATCAAAAATAACATCAAGAAGAGTGCAGTCTTGAGATGAAAGAGAGCAATATAGAACAAAGAGAAAGGTGAAAGTGAAGTGGTGCTAAACGAAAGCATATAAAAAAGTAGACTGTGGATTCATACCTAATTTCCTGACAAATGGATGAATTCTTACGAATGTAAATGCCCAGGCCAAGCATGTGACTATTGGAGTCTTTACAAATTAAAGGAAGATAACCATCAACACTAAGATCACAAGATAAGACAGCTGAACTCAAATTAGTCTCACAAAGAGCAAGTAGGTCTGCTTATGATACGAAGAAGACTAATGGGATGGTACTTATATACGCATGTACAGCGGAATTTATATAGAGTTTAAAAACTCCCAAAAATCAAGAACCATTTTTTTAAATTTAAGGTAATGCAAGTCTTCCCAGGAAGGGCATACATTCGCATGCCTTGCTGGCCTACATTTAAAGTAATTTTTTAGACAACTCGATCATGTTTTTATATAGTAAGCATTTTAAAAACTTGCGGCAAAATAAAGCTTTAAGAAACTACAGAGAATAAAACAGCAAAGCAAAAAAAGGAAACAAATAGTATACGAAATAGAAAATCTATATAAAATAAACTGAAAAAAACTTAAAACTAAAAAAAAAATATACATAAATATTTTTCTGCTTTTGTTTTCTTTTTTTTTTGGCCCTTTGTTATTTTCCATTTCTAAAATTGATACAAGTTGAAGAATATAACAAAAATAAAAATATTTTTTGATATAGAATTTATTTGCGACTTTTGTCAGTCAGTATATTAAGGAAATACTTTATTATTTGCGCTAGAAATAATGACAATTTTGTAATTTGTTTTTTAGATGCTTTTACTAAAATTTACTGTTTTTATCAATGCACAGGAAAGCGAGAAAACTAATTGCTATTTATTTGTAAAAAATTTTATTTAATTTCTAACAAGTTTTTCATGTAAAAAAATAAAAAGTCATTATTACTAATATTAAAATATAAAATATTTGGTTGTATTCCCTACCCCCATTGAAATAATCTACATTTTTGTTGAATTATCTAAACTGTGAATTTAAACCTGATAGTTTATTTTCTGATGAACTATTTTATTACCAATGCTCCAAAAGCTTGTGGGCAAGTGCATTCTTAATTTACTTCACTATTTTTACAAAATTTTTATGAGCCTATTTTTGTGTTTTTAAATATATTTTTTCAAACAGAGCAATCGTTATGTTTATTATCTTTTGTAATCTGATTAACGTTGGAAATTGGGAAAGATAAAGTAAACAATTTCAGCAGACATCAAATGTGGTAAATACATTTATAAAACCATGCTATTCTTCTATTTATTTTTTTCTGTCATTACAAAATTTATTATTCAAATAAATTATTTTACAAAAAAATAGCAATTTATTTTTTTATTTTCCTTTTATATAAGTATTAAGAAAAAATGTCAATTATAGCATAAACATTTTTTAAGTAAGAAAAAAAGTTAACAAAATTTTTTATAGTTATAGCGTATATAGAAAATTAGTTACTTAATCATATGGACCAAGGCTTGAATTAGGTGAATTGCAATATCGGGAAATATTTCAGTTCATTAAATTCTTAGTTTATTAAAAACCATGAACATTGTTTTAACGAAACAGTCAAATTATCATATTGCAAAAATTAGGGAAAAAACAAAACAATAAATTTACTACTCCAAAAATAATAACAGTCAAAACTTGAATATTTTTATTTATTATTTTCATAAAGAGTTAGGTAATTTAAGGATTATAAAAAAAAAAATTTATTAGTAAAAATTTATTAGTAAAAGACAATTATTAGTAAAAGGTCCAAAAGATTCATGTGGTAATTTAAAAATCAACCAATAAAAAATTATGCTAAAGCTATTTGCACATTGCATAAAACATTGTCTGAAAAATCAACCAATAAAAAATTATGCTAAAACTGTTTGCGCATTGTATGAAACATTAATATCAATTTTGTCTAGAGGGAAAGTTTAAGGAATTATTTAAAAATTTAAATTAGAAATTAAAATTTGATAATTTGTTAAAATTTTATTTCCTTTTTTTAATATTAGTTTTTTTTTCTCAGTAGATAAGTTTAAACTTTTGCCACAAATTATTGAAATGCTTTAAAAGTTAAGATTCAAACTGACATGATCAGTGTGTATCTAAAAAAATTACTTTAAACATGGACAATAAAAGGAGCACAACCACATGCAGTTCCTTGGAAGGCTTATATTAGGACAATTGAATTAAAATTTTTCAATATTTTGTAAATAATTAAACATTACCAATATCGCAAAAACATATATATATATATATATATATATATATATATATATATATATATATATATATATATATATATATATATATATATATATATATATATATATATCGTCGAGTGAGAATTATAGGGTTCTACATGCCTTGTTTTATGTTGAAAGAATTTAACAACCAAAGTTTTAATAATTAATAATAAAAACAAACCACTTAAAAAATGATATATTATATATCATTTTTTAAGTGGTTTAATATAAAATATGTTAAATAATTAAAAATAGATAACATAAACAACTTATAATTTATAATTATAATGAACAACAGCTGTAAAGCATGTATTAAATAAATATTGAAAGTTAAGTTCTCACAACATAAAAAAAGGCAGATAGAACCCTATAATTCTAATGTAGCGATATATATATATATATATATATATATATATATATATATATATATATATATATATATATATATATATATATATATATATATATATGTATATATATATATATATATATATATATATGTATATATATATATATATATATATATATATATATATATATATATATATATATATATATATATATATATATATATATATATATATATATATATATATATATATATATATATATATATATATATATATAAATATGATATATATTTCTGGATAACACCCTGATAACCTACATAATTTTATATTATATAATTAATAATATTCAATTATTAATTTTACTGTAGTGAATACTTTTTATTAGTCAATTCTTTACTAAAGACACACTTAGAACATTTCTAAATTTAGTGTAAAATTATGTTCAACCATTTCAGGATTTGCAAGATATAAAAATATTTTCCAACTTATCTTTAAATACATTTTAAAAAGTTAAGTTAATGAAATAAAGTGCCTAATTGGTCAAAGGGTTAATGAAGTAAGTACCTAATTGGTCGACCAGTAAGTGAGACTCGTAAAGATTGTAACAGCTGCACAAGTTCCCCATGTTCAAAATCATTCCTTGATAACTGCTGCTGGTAATCTCCAGCTGATTCAGGACCAGATGATACCTTAATAAAAACAATAGAAAGTTAACAACAAATTAATTTAGGAGCAGCTAAAAAAATATAAATACTACTAACTTTAATATTTTGCCTTCTCATAAATTGACCTAGCATATTCAACTTATCACCAAAATCTTTACTACGAATAGGCATTTTTAGATTCTCTGATAAATTCATTTCATCCTAAAAAATATAACATAATAAATTAACAAATGAATTACAAAAATTATAAGACTTATAAAACTTTAAACTTACAAGCATTTTTTCAAACTTTTTATCAAAATCTTCCGCTGGCAGCGACTTGAGCCCTGCAATTTCCTTCTCCAAAACTTCATTGAACGGTGTTTCCACTTCATTGAAAGTTTTTGGTCCAGGAACAGTTGGTGGAAGTTTTTTTGCAGGTTTTCCAAGTTTTGCTTTCTTTTTAGAAGTAAAGCGCAACTAAATAATATTATTTTAAAAATAAGTTGAAATAAGCTGTATTTTCCTGTATTTTTGTTTTTCATGTAACTTTGTATGTAATGTGTAGGCATATTCTACAAAGTGTTTTAGGGTTAATATCTATATTTGTGGATATAAAAAGATATCATATATATTTTATTAAATGATTATTTAATTAGACTTTTATGACATAAAGTTATGGAAATGATAATCTTAATGTGTATGCGTTTATACTATATACTACTATATGTTTATAATTATTAGATTAATTGGATATACTTTTTCTGCATGTTTGTCTCTATACCCACATATTTTTCTAAATATTATTTGTGTTCCATAAATTTGGGAGGGGTGTGAGTGTTTCACTATTCTGTAGTTAGGTCTGTTTTATTGAAATAAAGACTGATATGATATAGGTTACAAGGAATGATAAAGACAGCAAGGATGCATAATTGACGAGCGATGCTAGCCATTTTTTATCAGAATCTTTGAAACATTATCAGTGAATATATTGTGGCCCTGAGGATGGAATTTCACCTACATTAGTCCACTACTTAATTTTAATTGGATCTTACAACACCATGATTTTTATTATTTTTCTACTTTGCTCTTTTGGGTTTATATATATATAAATATATTTATGCTGTGGATTATTATTATCGATTTTCTCTTTATACATGCATGTGTATATATGGATAGATATGTTTTATTTTTTTTTATATATGTATTTGTTTATATTAAGTTAATATAGGTGTGCGTATGGAAGTGTATGTGTGTGTATATGTATATGTATGTATCTTTGTATATATTAGGCCTTCGTATTAGAGGCATGTGTTTGCACGGCTTATATGACCACGCATATAATACTTTGTTTTGACAACTTGGCCACTGCTCTTTGCAAGTTGATAATTAGCAATTTTAAAAAACACTAAAAAATTAAGCAAACTTAAAATAAACAACCCATAAACTGAAAAAAGAAAATAATCAAAAAAAAAATAATACAAAAATTAAAATAAAAAGATAAAAACGTTAAAGAAAAACAAAATAAATAGGAGAAAAACCAGAAAAAATTAAAACATTTATTAATTAATGTAAACTTAGTTGTAAGCCAAAGTTATTTAAAAAATTTATCACAGTTCTATAAATTCTTATCATTCTCTCACATGAATAAATAGGCTAATACAAGGGCAGATCTATAATAAGGGGAGGGCCATAAGGGTGTCTGCCCCCCCCCCTCCTTTAGATTTTTTAGTTATTTTATAAAAATGGATATATTTAACACAGTACGATGTTTAAAAACATAGGCTTTTTTAAAATAATAGGCTTTTTAAAATAAACTAGGCTTTTTAAAAGTGCCACAAATAATTTTGTCAATCACAAATAATTTTGTGATTGACAGTTTTTTATTTATTATAACGAACTCATATATTTAAAATACAAAACAATTAATTTCAGAGACTTTTAAAAAAACCAAGCCACAACATAATTATTTTCTTTAATAGTGTTACTTTTCAGTAAAACAGCTAAGTACCCCATTCAAAAACTAATTAGGTTGTAGCATGGCTTTTGCATGCGCTTACAAAAGCATCCAAAACTTTACTTTAAAGAATAATTCTCCAATTACTTCAAAAGAAAACATGATTAAAGATTATGAATGTTTTCTTTTATTGAAAAAAGCGATCATAATGTTTAAGCAATCACTATAAGTTGGAAGTTACTGAAAGAGAAAAGATAAAGAGTCTAAAGCAAAATAACAATTGAATGACGACTTCAAAATTTTGCAAAATATATGAATCAGGAAAGCAAGATAAAGAAAGCCAATTCCAAAGAACTGCAGTTAGAGGAAAAAAACTGAAGAAATAAGAGTTTTTGGAGCATTCAGCAGGCCTTGCGATAAATAAGAACTGCGCGACGCATAAGCACGACGTGATTTTTGACGTCATTAAATTCTTTTTATTTGCTTTTCATATTTATCGACATTAACTGCACCAATTTACTTAATTACCGCAAAAATACTTTAAATTGTTTATGTAGAAATGTTATTATTTAAAAATGTTTTGGAATGTTTCGTTTTTTAAAATGTAAAAACATTTGTTTATTTTCTTGACGTTTGTCACGTTTTGTCTATACTAAACAAATAAAAAACATTATAACTTAAATTTAAAAAAGATTATAAAATATGCTAATATTTGATTTTTTTTTTCTTAAATATGTAATTTAAAGTTTTTCAAATAATTATTTTTTCTTTTTAAAAAGTCAGCGAGTAATAAACTGGAAATTTTAATATTGTACGATTAAAAACTGTGCAATAGCTAATATTTTTACAAGCGATTTTATATAATATTTATTTATTTTTACTTATTTTCATAAAGCGGTTGATAAGCACAATCACTCGTATTAATAAAAAACTTAAACGAACATTTTGAATAGATTTTTAATGTTAACAAGGAATTTTATTTCTAGTAAAAAAAAATATAATGTTAGAATAAAAATTTTTTAGGAATAAAAGAAATATTTCAGCGAAAAAATTATTCTTAAAAATTATTCGAAAAATTATTGACGTTCTATTTTTCAGCAGCTGTTCTTGAGCACGCTTCGTTGAGTTTCGGTAACTTTTAATATAAAAGCGATCGTTATTATTTAAGTAATTTTTTTGAGTTACTTTTTACAAAAATTTTAATAACTGTACTTTTTTAGTGAATCAAGTAGAATACGTTTTAATATTAATCCTTTTTTATTTTTGTATTTGCCCTCACCAATTTTTAAAATGTTTCCTCGAAATTACTCTTAAATACGTCTAACAGTTAATAAATATTTTTAAATCTATGGAATAATTTTAAATCCTAACAAACCCCCGTAAAATAATTATTTAAGTTTAAAATCTAAAACTAAAAGAAAGTATTTTTGTTCAATTTTAATTAAATGTTAGATAATTTTAATTAAATGTTAGCTTAAAAGATTTAAACTTTTTTTTTTAATTTTGGATTTTTTTCTACTTGTAAATAATGAGCATATTTAATTTTTTTAAATTCAAACTTTTATTTCAACTGCGTGCGGTTTTTAAAATACTTTATTAAATGTTAAAATATTCGTAAATTACTTCATTAAAATTCCGCTCAAAAATATCTTTAAATATACTCAAACAAAAAACTTTTTGCTCGACGCAAATAGCCCTAGCTACATGCAAAATCGCTCTTGGACGATGTAAAATTCACATCGCCCGACGCTTTATCGCAAGGCCTGATTCAGGAACAGTCACAGAAAAAAGATCAGACTTAAATGAACGAAGAGTAACGCGAGAATAAATTTTAGTAGATGGCACGAGACGTTAGCTCTTTAGAACAGTGCCCATTATAGTATTTGTAGAAAAAAGAAAGAGAAGCAACGTTACGACAATGTGATAATGGTTAGAGGTTAGCTGAAAGAACAGGTCCAACTATGTTTACAATACACTTTTGCACCTTGTCCAAAAGAGAAAGGGCATCATTAGAAGATCCGCCCCAGATATGGCAACAGTTTTCCATACAAGGACGGATTTGAGATTTATAAAGATTAGGAATAGAATTCATAGTAAGAAAGTGTTGATCTCGAAAAAGAGATGCAATCTTAGCAAATACTAATTTTGCAATGGATTTGATATACGGTTTCCAAGAAAGATCAGAAGTAAGAGTTAATTCAAGAAGATGAAGGGTAGAAGACTCATCAAGTACATTACCATTTATAAAAGAGCACTGACTAGGATCAAAAAGTAGAGTAAAGAAGGTAAATGATTCAGTTTCAGGCCTTGCGATAAAGCGTCGGGCGATGTAAATTTTACGTCGTCCAAGAGCGATTTTGCGTGTAGCTAGGGCTATTTGCATCGAGCAAAAAATTTTTTGTTTGAGTATATTTAAAGATATTTTTGAGCGGAATTTTAATGAAGTAATTTACGATTATTTTAACATTTAATAAAGTTTTTAAAAACCGCACGCTGTTGAAATAAAAGTTTGAATTAAAAAAAATTGAATATTTACAAGTAGAAAAAGTTCAGATTAAAAAAAAAGTTTAAATCTTTTAAGCTAACATTTTAATAAAATTATTCAGCATTAGCAAAATTGAACAAAAATACTTTCTTTTAGTTTTAGATTTTAAACTTAAATAATTATTTTACGGGGGTTTGTTAGGTTTTAAAATTATTCCATAGATTTAAAAATATTTATTAACTGTTAGACGTATTTAAAGTATGTAAGAGTAATTTCAAGGAAACATTTTAAAAATTGGTGAGCGCAAATAAAATAAAAAAAAAGGATTAATATTAAAACGTATTCTACTTGATTCAATAAAAAAGTACAGTTATTAAAATTTTTGTAAAAAGTAACTCAAAAAAATTACTTAAATAATAACGATCGCTTTTATGTTAAAAGTTACCGAAACTTATGGAAGCGTGCTCAAGAACAGCTGCAGAAAAATAGAACGTCAATAGTTTTTTGAATAATTTTTAATAATAATTTTTAAGAATAATTTTTTCGCTGAAATATTTCTTTTATACCTATAAGATTTTTATTCTAACATTTTATTTTATTTTACTAGAAATAAAATTCCTTGTTAACATTAAAAATCTATTCAAAACGTTCGTTTAAGCTTTTTATTAATACGAGTGATTGTGCTTATCAACCGCATTATGAAAATAAATAAAAATAAATAAATAAATATTATATAAAATCGCTTGTAAAAATATTAGCTATTGCACAGTTTTTATTCGTACAATATTAAAATTTCCAGTTTATTACTCGCTGACTTTTTAAAAAGAAAAAATAATTATTTGAAAAACTTTAAATTACATATTTAAGAAAAAAAAAATCAAATATTTAATAATCTATTTTAATAATTAATATTTAATAATCTATTTTAAGCATATTTAATAATCTATTTTAAATTTAAGTTATAATGTTTTTTATTCGTTTAGTATAGACTAAACGTGACAAACGTCGAGAAAATAAACAAATGTTTTTACATTTTAAAAAACGAAACATTCCAAAACATTTTTAAATAATAATATTTCTACATAAACGATTTAAAGTAGTTTTGCGGTAATTAAGTAAATTGGTACAGTTAATGTCGATAAGTATGAAAAGCAAATAAAAAGAATTTAATGACGTCAAAAATCACGTCGTGCTTATGCATCGCGCAGTTCTTATTCATCGCAAGGCCTGCAGTTTGTCTGGAAAGCGAGTTGGAAAGTTGACTATTTGAGTTAGAGTTCGAGTAAGGCAAAAGTTGTGGGCCACAGAATCACTAACAACAGAGCCAAGCCAAGCATTTTTTTAAAGCGCTAGTTCTCAAAACTTTGCAGGCTTTATATATATATATATATATATATATATATATATATATATATATATATATATATATATATATATATATATATATATATATATATATATATATATATATATATATATATATATATATCGATTGATGTTAAATTACTATTATTAATTAATATTACTATTGTAATACAAAACTCTATTTCGGTTAAGAGTGCTCAATAATAAAGAAAGTAAACAACTTTCTAACTAGAGCGGTATATATATATATTTATTTTTATTTACATATAGAAAAAACAACTTTTCATGGGACTAATAGTTTCATGCTTATACGGCAATCATCAGCCATGTACTATATCAAAAACAAACAAACTGTTAATAAAATTACAAAATACAGTGGAGCGACATCTTACGTCTCTATAGAGACAAAAAAAAAAAACGTCAAAGAAAATCTCATATAAATCAGCTAATTGCCAGTATCATAAAACGAAAGAAGGAATTTTTCACACATTTGTGTAATTTGCTGACACTGTTTTAAAAAAATTTTTTTAGAAATGATTAAGGTTTTTTAAAAAAAAAAAATTTTAAAGGTGGATTTAATGTAACTATTATTTGAGCTCACTTATTTTTATAGTTTTTCAGAAGAAACTTATTTTCGTGCCTGCATTTAGAAATCAATTCTGATTTTTTGTTTAATAAATATTCTTGATTTGCATGTGTAATTTATTTTATTTGTTAAAACCGTTCATTTACATGTTTACGATTATTTTTAATATCATTTAAGATCAGAAAGCTTATTAAGTTTAGTCTATAGTTATGTTAAATACAATAAATATTATTGTATTTAACATATAGTTATTTATAAAAAAACACTTAATTTTTTAAAATTGGATTCATATTTTTTATTATGGTTTTGATTAAATCCAATCAAAATAAAAAATGTTAGTTACACAATGCAAATTTAAAAAATTGCATAGTAAAATTGCTTATAAATAAGAAAAAACAACTACTTAGTACTATTTTTTTTTAGATTCCTTTTTCTCCCTCTAAATTATTTTTAAAGGGTCAGATTATTTACATAAAGTTACAAGTTCATACTATGTTACAATTTTAAAGAGTGTTTTAAAAAAAAAAATGGAAAACAGCTATTAAAGGAGAAGTAAATTCTTATTTCCCATAGAGGTTAAAACAACTGGATATAAACTGTAAAGAGGTGTAAACTGTCTATTCATTTTTTTAAACAACTTTCTGTTAACAAAATTTTTTCCTACAGCATATAAACCAAATTTGTTTTTCTAAATGGCGTTCTATCTATAATGAATCTAAAAAATCAATTAAAATGTAATAAACAAACTATACTTTTTTTATTATTGAAAAACAACTTCAAAACTAAAAAATTACTAATTCATAAATTTGTTATATACTTACATAAAGTTTAATTGTTATAATTATTAAAATATTATTGTATACTTTAATACTTATAACAATTATTGGGACCTTTGAAACTCTAAGAAGTTAATTTTAGTTTAGCATTTGATTTGAAATGTGCAAACAGTATTTTTGGACTTGCAAGTCATTCTGGCAAATATGCTAGTCTTTATTGTGAAGGAGAATGCTCCCTTGAAGCAGGAATAACTAAGGACATAGACTTATGTTATGATCAATATGTATGCGAAGGAAAAAAAAGATTAAAAATGAAGGAATACAAAAACAATATAAATCCTCATTTAATATACTTAAAAAAAGATCAAGAAATATTTTTTGAACACATTATTCCTCCCCCTGAGTTCCACATTATGATGGGAGTTGTGGATAAACTTTGTACCTTGCTTTTAGGTGTTTAGCCACGTTTTCAAAATTGGTTGAAAACACATTACATATTAATGAGAGGATACCATGAAATAGGCTTAGATGGAAAAGTATTGTAATTTGTTTCTGTTAAATCACAGAGTAACACAAGCATTGCAGTTTGCTGTTGTTAATTTTTGAAGCAAACAGAAGTTTTAGCTTAGGTGAAAAAATGGAATTGAAAATTATCAAGCCATTCTTTTAGTTACTTGTTTATATAAAAAGAAATTTTTCTTCAAATAATTTTATAGACTCTAACACCATTTAAAAACATTATCTTTTTTTAAACATTATCTTTTTTAAACATCTTAATCAATATATATATATATATATATATATATATATATATATATATATATATATATATATATATATATATATATATGTATATATATATATATATACATATATATATATATCTTAACCAATATATATCTTGTAATATTTATTATAATATATATCTTATATATATATATATATATATATATATATATATATATATATATATATATATATATATATATATATATATATATATATATATATATATATATATATATATATATATATATATATATATATATATATATATACATATATATATATATATATATATATACATATATATATATATATATATATATATATATATATATATATATATATATCTTAACCAATATATATCTCGTAATATTTATTATAATATATATCTTGTATATATATATATATATATATATATATATATATATATATATATATCTTGTATTATTTATTATCTTAGTCTATATATTTTTTTTTTTTTTTTTTTTTTGCGATTCTGTCTGACTTTATCTATGCCTGAATCTGTTCACATAAGCTTGAAGAAAATTTTTACCGGCCTTATTAATTTTTAAATTAATCTTAAAATGTCTTTATTAAATAATAATAATCTAAAATATAGGTTTTTATATTATTTTTGATAAAAAGTAGCTCGAAATTATTGAAATTCAGCTTAAGTTGTCATTTCTGTGAGCTTATTAAAAATTCTGGGAAGGTTTCAATTTATTTTTTTGTTAAACGCCAAAAGCTCATAAATTATATTAATGTTTTTACAGAACTAAATTATTTTAAATATTGTAAAAGTACATAAGTTTTTGCAAGAAACATTAACATACTATCAAAAAAAATTTTTGCAAACTTTAAAAAATTTTTTAACCATGAAAAACATTTAAAGCTTGATTCCACAAAATTATTTGACTAAGAGATCCAACTTTAAAATATCACATTGTTAAAAAAGTTGTTTCAAACCAAACATTTAAATTTTTTAATTTAATATATTAAATTTGTTTTTCATAAATCAAGTGAAAATTCTGGCACTCTATACTGGTTCTGCAAAGATGATTCACTTGGGTATTATATAACAATTTTAAGTACTCTAAATTTAAAGATTTGAAAAATTCTTTTAATGTTAATTGCATCAATTATGCTTTTTAACTGTTGATTTTAGTTATTTATGCCATTTGTCCTATATTAAAAATTTGTGGCACAACTTTTTACTACACCAAAACAGTGCAGATACTGATTTTAAGAATAAAATTATAAAGAATAAAAGATTTAATTTATTAAAAGATTAAAATTTAAGAATAAAATTATAAATAAATAAATAAAAAACAGTCCAGATACTGATTTTAAGAATAAAATTATAATAAAGAAAGATACTTTTATTATACTTAATCATTGCAAACATACATGCTATTATTATTTTTACTTTTTAAATTCATGTTAATAATAATTTCAGTTAGATGTTTATTTCAAATTAGTACATGTATCAATTGTAATTACTCGTAAAATCTAATAACAACAATGTTCAGAATACACAGATTGAATGACACAACTTACTAGATGTAATTTATTGACTTGAACTCTCAAACAAGACTCTTTCTAACCCTTATAAATATTATTTTTCTTTAACCAACTTATCTGTAAAATTTTACAGACTAATCTGTAGGACTGTATAATTAAGGTTTGCATTTAAGAAAATCTGGAAATTACAAATAGGATTTATCTTACTTATCATTAATTAGCTAGAGTAATATCTCTTTAAAGGTAAATTAGCATTATCAGACTTCTGCTTATTAGTTTTTGCCCCAGGATATGTCATGTACGTGTATTTAGAAGTTACATGTTATAAATTGTACAGCAAACAAAAAACAGCTATACTTAACGAAAACTATTTATATCTAAAAGACAGAAACAGCTTTTACTTACCAGGGAACCTTTTTCTTTGTCAGCCATTTTATTCTAAGAAAAATTTTTGAAGCAATAAATTAGGAACATATTAATGTTTTCCTCTTCGCTAATTTATCCAAAACAGATAGGAAAATCAACTTTGCAACTAAATATTGATAATCTCCGTCTCTGCTTGCCTTACCTATTTTACTTTACGGCGTACAACACGGAATTTTTAAATTAGCTTCATATACCGGTAAACATATATGAGAAAAATAGATATATGAGATGTGAGACGCAATTTTTTTGAAAAACCGGTAATGTTTGTATTGGCTTTTACTGACATATTTTTTAAAACTTAATATATTAAGTAAATCCTTTCTTTGAATTGCCTTTCTTTTTCATTTAAAATTTTTATGTTTCTTATTTTAGTTTAATAACGCACCATTATACAAAAGTGAGAATGTCTTGAGAGGTTCAGCAACCGGTACTTAAGAAAGAGTTTGGATTAAAATTGATACAAGCTGAAGAAGTTGTTTACAATGAATTTCTCTCTATTGTTAATTGCTATAACTTTTTAAGTTTAAATACACATAGGAAAAGGCTTTAGGAAAAAATTTACTATGTTTTAATTGGGTGCTTATCACAACTCTATTCGTAATAAAAGCCTGCTGCTCAGCAACTAAATAAGTTTATTTCATTCATTTATAAAAGAGCAGGTGACCTAATTAATTAAGTTATCATAAAAAATATAATTAATAAAGAAATAGTTAGAGGTATATTATATCAGTTATGATTTTTAGGCAAGTTTCAGATTTTTAGGCACGGGATGTATCTATGAGTTAAATTGCTGCTTCAGTTTTCATAATCAAAATTCGAAAAAATATAACTCGGCTGACAGAGATTTTTTTAATCTCTAACATTTCACTTGAGTCAAATACTTGCAATAATTGTTTATGTAAATGATAACGTTATCACTTCGCATTCAGTGGCGTATTAAGAACTATTTTTATTAGCGTAGACTGGGTTAAGTTACAAAACCAAAACAGCTAACTTTGGTTGTCCAAATATCTATAAAATATTTTTGATTTGCGTCTAAACTATATTAGTTCTAATTAATATAGTTTAATTAATAGTTAATTAATAGTTTAATATAGTTTAATAAATAGTTAATATAGTTTAATATAGTTAATTAATAGTTTAATTTTGCAATTAGAAGGTTTTATACTTAAGCTAAGTAATTAAATTATATTAAATTATATTAAATATGTTAAATTATATTACTTTAAATTTAGAGCTTTTAGAGAGAATTCAAAGATTATAATGGAATGTTTTTATTTTCTTCTGTGCAAATTTAAGAATGTTTTCACTTCATCCTGTAAAACTCTAATGATAAACTATCAATGTTTTTATTTCCTTTTGAAATAATAACATAGAATGTTTTTACAATTTTCAAACTTTTATAAAGTTTGTTTTTAATTATTATGATCAAATAAACATGTTTTGATAGAATATGAAAACAAAAATATGTTACTAATAATCATGAGAAGTTGTGTCACCTAACTTGGGAAAATAATAAAAAGGTGTTATAAAACGGTATGCATATTAGACAGCTACCTGAGGTTTTAATTGTTAACAATTGTTTCAGAAATAAAAAACTGTAAACATACACCTTTATCAGGTCAATTTTAAACTTTTTCTATGGGATTACCATCATTAGACTTTAAATGCTTTGTAAATACAACTGTAGATACAAATTTTTATTAATTAAAAAAGGATTTTTTAAGTAAAGAAATGTTGACATTTTTTGAATCCACAGGGTTTATAAGGTCATAAGGGTACAAAAGATGGTATGACTATATGCTAAATGAAAAATGATTTAATGACTGTCTAGTTATAAAAATTAAACCCTTCTTCTCCCCCTCTTCCTCTTTTCTAAGTTAATAATGATATTTTTGATCTTACTACACATAGTTTTTTTGTTGTTTGAAACATGTAGTCTTCAGAAATGTAACATACCTCAAATCATTGCATCATAAAATATAAGTCTATAAGTATATATTATCAAATTTTAGTTGAATAGTATAAAACTATAATAGTATAAACCCATATATGGGGCCCTAATAAACTACTATAAAATATTTTAAACTTCGTAGCATATTCATTTCAAAATTACATCGCAATTAAGTTGATTGAAAAGAGAATTAATGTAAATGATTTGTTAAAATAGCTCTCAGGTCATTTTAACCAATAAATTTTACATTTACATGTTCTCATTTTTTTTCTTTAATTTGACATTTCAATAACGGTGCTTATACTTGGAATCTTTTCTTTTTTTGCTCAATTGTTCTGTGAAGCAGGTGTGCACTTGATTTCAATCAATGGATTTAACATACAGCTATTTGATTTATTATTAGATAACTTGCTGATTCAATGCTTATGACACTAATTTACTATTACTACTTAAATAAAGTGCTTAACTTTTTTAAGGTTTTTTCATGTGCATTTTTAATTCATGCCAGGTAGTTGAAGGGTTCAATAATGAGAATTTTTTTATAAATTAAACTTGTGCAACACTTTTTTAACTAATGGTAAACCCATTCTTAATATTATATATTCTTAAAACAAAACTAAATTTTCAGTCCATACTTTTAGGTACTTACATACAGTTTTTATATAATATTTATAAATGAATCTAAATTGAAAGAACTTTCAATGCATTAGTTTTATACTTAGCTGTAAATTATTGTATTAAAAAACATGTTTTATAAAAAGTATCAAATTAGGTATTAGTTAAATAGAAATTTACAGTGGCAAAGCTGAAACAAAACTTTTATATAAAGTTTTTGAGCCAAAATTGAATTCCAGTGTTAATAAACAGAGTAAATTTTTTCACCTCTACTTATCTTCCGCAGCAGTTGGTGGCTGCCTTCCAATGAACTAAGAAAATGTAGAAATTACAAATAGGATTAATCTTACTTATCATTAATTAGCTAGAGTAATATCTCTTTAAAGGTAAATTAGCGTTTACAGACTTCTGCTTATTAATTTTTGCCCCAGGATATGTCATGTACGTGTATTTAAAAGTTACAAGTTATAAATTGTACACCACACAAAAAACATCTATATTTAACGAAAACTAAACGAGGCAAAATGTTCTGGCTTCCGTCTCCAGTAGTTTCCGCCTTTGTATTGAGAGCCGCAGCATAAGTTTTTTTAGATAGCAAAATAATCTGGAGTCTCAAAAGTCTCAAAAGCATTTTGCTATCAAAAATAAGGAGGTTAAAGCCATTGGTAGCCACCTCCAGAAAAAATTCAAAATGACGTAAAAGCGGCTTCTAAATCATTTTGCTTTTAAATTTTTTGCCTACCTGCAGGCTGCAAACACCAAATTGGAGGGGGAATTTTGACGGGACTGTTTTTAAGTTAACGAGCAATTTATATTAATTAGGAGCAAATGCGTTTTAAATGATTTATTGCCAAACCTTTTTATTTGAAATTATTATTTTGCCAGAGTGGTTGTTTATCAAATAAATTGGAATAAAATCAAATAAAATTGAAAAAAAAAAGTTCATATTAGATAATTAAATTTTCAGTTTATGATAAAAACTTGATATTTTGTCGCCCATCTATAAAACTTATGTTAAGGTCCTAAAACTTCTGTTTTAGGACCTTAACGTTAAATTCTTAAATCATTAGATTACTGTAAAAATTATTGAAAAATACAACCTCTTTTAATATTTATAAAGAATTAATAAAATTTTATTAACAAATTTTTTTTTTATAAAAGTTTATTTTGATGTAGGCATGAATTAAATTTTTCTAAAAATAAAAACTTTTACGAAAATAAAACTTTTTTAAAAAAAAATATTTTTTCTCGCAACAGAATTGAAAATGAAAAACGCGCTTTAGTCAAGCCAAATAATATACTATAGAGATTTTTTTACTTATATAAATTCTGGAGTAATATGCGATTTTTACTACTATGTTTTTTACTAATAATAAACTTTTACTCCCCAGTTAATAGTTTTATATTAAATTTTTATTCACAAGTAAAAATCTTGTATTAAATTTTTACTGTCATGAGATTTTTACTTCCCACGTAAAATTTTATTTTGCAACCACGTCATATTTTGTCAATAAATGATCTACAGTAAATATTTTGATACACCGTTAACAAACTGTGTCATATTCGGAACTACATACAATTGTGAGTAAGAATTTAAACTAATCTTAATTGATAATTAATAATATAATGACGATGTTGTTATTGTAATATGCATATATATCAACTACATAGTATATAATTAGAAAAACTTTATCAATTACAGAAGACGTCATTCACAACAAGTAAAACAGAATGATTTTTTTTTAAAAAAACCTCTTTTCTAAGATCTTGTTTACGATGGTTTATGCTGAGTAAGATGCTAAACGGATGAGTTATATTAACTTTATATTGAAACAGCTTTAATATTAGCATTTTTTTAGTTTTGATGAAGGTCATAGTTGTTCAGCTCTTAATATACTAAATAAATTTATAAATTCACCTGCCAAATTTACGGGGATATCCTAATTATAAGGAGGGTTAGAAACATAGTTATAAAACCTAATAAACAGGGAAACCTTAATTAACGGGAGAGCCGCAGTATTAAAAAATAAACAATCCGCAGCATTTTCAAACAAGGAAAACGATATAAGTATGGGGCAACAACTAGAGACTACTTTTTGTGAAAATTTAAAAATAACAGAATCATTTTTATTGATGCCACCTTTGGATTATCTTTTACTGTTTTTAATACGGTTTTTGTTTAAACGGCTCTTATATTTATATTATTTACGTTCTGATGCTTGAAGATGACAGTTGAAGATAAAGGTCGTTGAAGATGACAGTTGAAGATAAAGGTCGCAGCGTATTATATGCACATTGACTGGAAAAATAGAAATAGACGCAATGTAATTATAAGTAAAATATGATCAGTTAACATAAGTAAACATATATTGACTGAGAGTATACATACATATAACACCTGTAGACATTTTATAGGATAGAAAGGTACATTAAGAAACGCCGATGAATTCACTAAAACGTTTAAAAACTCAATTTAAACCTTTTTAAACTCTATACTTCTAATCTTTAAAAATATTGAATTTGAATAAAAGTATTGAAAAGTGTTGAATTTTTAAACGTTTAAAAGTAAACAGTCAATACTTTTAAACTTTAAAAGTA